ATAAATCTGTTCCCACTTCAATTCTTCTTTCTTCACTTGTCCCTTACATAATCATTTATGCCACCGTCTTGGAGCTTCGCCATGGCACCGAGAAGTTCCTAATAAAACCCTCCCGTCTCTACACCCAAAAAACTTATTCATTCGAATCAAATAAAAAATGTTGTTCGAAATTTTTAACTTGTTTAAAAAAAAAGGATTTAATAATTTCAAATAAAGAATTTATTAGTTTCAAATGAAGAGTTTTCTTATTTCAAGAAAATCACATTTTCATGTGTTTTGTAAAGGAAATTCGAAATTATGTTTCAACCTGAAATTATGTCTGACTTCGCCTTATTCTCTCCTAATAATTATTGCATTTTTCTCTTTCAATTTTTTTTCAGTCAATAATAAATTATTAGTATCAAATTAATTTTTATCAAGTACGATAAAAAGTCTATTTATTTCAAATCAAGAAATTCTCTTAATATAAGAAGAATCTTTATTTATTATTAACGAAGAATTCATTTGGTTTAAATAAAGATGTATTGATAATGAAAAAATCATTTTCTCTGTATTATAAAAATCCAAATCGACTTCTGGTGATAAAAATTTGATACTTGAAATTACGACTCCTAAGTTAAAGATCATAAGGGTCAGGGTGAGGGTTGAAATAAGGAACATGGGGGTCAAAAACCAAAGGTCAGAAACTAAGGGTAACCAGAGTCAAAATAACGTTCACGAGAGTTATAATGAGGGTCAGATTAAGGATCCAAATGAGGGTCACAAGGGTTAGATTAAGGATCACGAAGGTCAGATTGAGGATCCAAATGAGGGTCATGGAAGTCAGAAACTGAAGATCATAAGGGTCAAAATAAGGGTCATGAGCAGGCCTCGGATTTCGATTCTACTAAAATTGACCGCGGCACCGTAGTGGAATATTGTGGAATCTGAACCAAACTGTCAGATTTTGAATGGTGTGAAGTCGGAAAATTGAGGTTGGGGGTTTACCGCGTGGAGTTGATGTGGGGATATGGTACAAGAGGTAAGTTATAACTAAAATTATTATTCTTAACTTAATTAATATTTTTATTAGCATTATTATTCTTAATAACCTGCTTGTGAATATTAGTGGTAAATAATCCGGATAAGTGGAACTTATCCGGAATGATTTCAGTCCGGCAGTTCACGAGGAACTTTTCAGCCAAAGGAGAAGAATTATCATCGGGTCTTTCAGCAATGAAAACGATCTTTGGACCGTTTATGAGAGTTTCGTGTATGGAACTCGAGGATGAGGAGCGAAGTTTTATTGTTTTGGTAATTATCAGAGGTTTTTTGGAGAGATTAAGCAATTTTCTGTTGGGAATTTCTGATATTTCCACGTTAATCAACTGATTATTTGATATAATGCCACAGTTGATGGGTTAATTAACATGAAAACTGAAATTTAATTTTCTTAAAATAGTTTTTTATATTCGAAATATGGGTCAGGGTTGGGTTAGGGTTGAGTTAAGGTTGAATCAGGGTTGGGTCAAGATTGAGTCGGGTAGACACCATACATTTTTTACGGGCCCAAGTTTAGATCTAATCTGGGATCATCTGGGATCAGGGTTGGGTCCAGGTTGGGTCAGGGTTGAGTCAGGGTTGGGTCAAGATCGGATCAACGTTAGGTCAGGTGGACACCATACACCTTTCACCGGCCCAAGTTTAGATTAGTTAACGTTGATCCAACTCTAACCCAACCCTGACCCAACCCTAACCCATATTTAGAATTAAAAAAACTTTCCAGAAAATTAAATGTTAGTTTTCATGTTAATTAACCCATCAACTGTGAATTATATCAAATAATTAGTTGATTAACATGGAAATATCAGAAATTCCTAACAGAAAATGATTTAATCTCTCCAAAAAACCTCTGATAATTATACCAAAACAATAAAACTTCACTCCTCATGCTCGATTTCCATACACAAAACTCCCATAAACGATCCAAAGATCGTTTTCATTGCTGAAAGACCCGATAATAATTCTTCTCCTTTGGCTGAAAGGTTCCTAGTGACCTGCCGGACTGAAATAATTCCGGATAAGTTCACCACTTATCCGGATTATTTACCACTAATATCCACAAGCAGGTTATTAAGAATAATAATACTAATAAAAATAATAATTAAGTTAACAATAATAATTTTAGTATCTAGTTATAAGTTACCTCTTGTACCTCTTGTACCATATCCCCACATCAACTCCACGTGGTAAACCCTCAACCTCAATTTTCCAACTTCACACCATTCAAAATGTGACAGTTTGGTTCAGATTCCACAATATTCCGCTACGGTTCCGCGGACAATTTTATGTAGTTGAATCGAAATCCGAAGCCTTGTCATGAGGGTCAGAATACTGGCCACAAAGGTCAAAATAAGGGCCAAGAGGGTGAGATTGCGGGTCGCTAGATTAAGGGTCGGAGTAAGGGTCTTAATATCTGTCTATACTCTAATAATCCAAATCGACTTTTGGTGACGAAAATTTGGTGCTTGAAATTAAGACTCCGAAATTAAGGTTCAGAAATGAAGGGTCATCAGGAGTATAATACGGGTCACACGGGTTAGATGAAAGGTCGCAAGGGTCCCAATATCTTGATCATGAGGGTCATATGAGGGTCGGCGCGGAGCGAGCAGGGGGCCTAGCCCCCTAGTATTAAATATAAACAGACCCGCAAATGAAGAACAATTTTCAATTTAACTAAAATCGTTTTTCCGCTCTATTTAAATGACCTTATTCATTTGATTTAAATAAGCAATTTCTCTGGATGTAGTTTCTATGTCAACTCTCGTGCCTCTTATTTTCCATTTTGAAGATTGAGCTCGACAGAACGTCCAGAGCCTCGTGTGTCGTTTGTCGAAAGCAGAGGGCACGTCACCCCTCAACCCTTTGTCATTTTCATCTCCTCCGCGTCCATATCACCTGCATTTTCCAATCAGTCCGCCGACAAAACGGCAGTGAATGCATCCGAAGGGTCGTTCATCCGCCTTTTTCCTCATTCGAGTAATGAAAAAGAAGAGAATTGAGTTCCTTTGACTCTCGTTACGCCCACTGGTAACTGCCGATGTCTGTGAACCCGATGAACACACACATGTCCATTCAACCATCGTACCCTTTCGTCGCCGCAATTAATGACTCAATTACGAGGATATGTTCGTTTGTACTTCGTCACAGGAACAATTTGTGTTGATTATCTCGCTTATTTTGTTTTTTTTTCGTTCACGAGTGCAAGTGTGTAAATGTTGTTTTTATCCAATGATGACTGTCAATATTTCATCTGCATAATTTTGTTATTAAGAGAATTTAAAGGGATTCACAGAGAGAAGAAGATTTCAGAAAAGTTCAATATCAACTACTCACTTTGAGATATTTGTTATAAATTATTGATTTTTCAACTACAAAAGAGAAATGTAATAATTTCAATAAATAATTTCTGGTGACAGGATAATTTCACATTAACTCCGTCAATAATAATTTTACGTGACCCCGAGAAAAAAACTTTTTTATTTTCGGAGAAAAAAACATTAACATTCGATTTTCCGCGTGATTTTTCCTCAGGATCCGATTTTGTCGATCAAAATTGTCTCCGGCCATTCGAAATTAGGGATTCAATTTTTTTAATCGAAAAGTCAACTTAACAAAAATGCTCAACGTATTTTTACTTAAATCGTTTTTTTTAATATAATAAGATAGATTTTGAATTTTATTCTTTCATCAAAATTTTTATTATTATTACAATAAAAAAAATAGAAATTTCTCATTTTTAGCGGTCGAAGACAAATTTGACCTACAAAATTGAATTTCTGAAGAAAAATCACGCGGAAAAAAGTATATTTCTCAAGTTTTTTTCTCAAAAAACGAAAAAGTTTTTTTCCCGGGATGAACCTCCCCTTAAAAATAAATCAAATATTCTCATTCTTGCGACAAATGAAATTATATTAAATCCTACAGAAATTCTATTTCTGAAAATCATACTAATTTTAACATTAAAAACCAAACAAATAAAATAAAATAATCAGCTTCAAATAAAATAATCATTGCAAAACGCCTTCTTTTGTCAGTATATCATTTATTTTTAATTTTTTAAATTCATTTTTTATTTTTTCGTCATTTTTTTTTATATCAAGATCATTCAGAATGGATCATTCTCCCTTGAACCGAGGATTACGTTAGGATCCACAAGCTTCTAAAACCATCTAATACAGCTTAATAAAAATTAATCGCGTATTCACGATATTCGTTTGCACATTGTCACAGGAACAATTTGTGTTCATGATCTCATTTATTTTGTTTCTTTTTGTTCACGAGTGCAAGCGTATAAATGTTGTTTTCATTCAATGAAGACTATCAATATTTCATCTACATAATTTTTAAAGATTCACAGAGAGAAAAATATTTCAGAATAGTGCGATATCAACTGCAGACTCGGAGGCATTTGTTAAAGTAAATATTTTGTCAAATTCAAAAGAGAAATTAAATAATTTAAATCAATAATTTCTGGAGACAGCCTGATTTTACGTTAAAAAGGAATCCAATTTTGATATTTGGAATGAGGTTAAATCCTACAGAAAGTCTATTTCTCCCAATCATTCCGTTTCTCAAAATTATATTACTTTAAAAATTAACAGTCAAACAGTAGTTGCTGCAAATAAAATTATCGTCGTAAAATTAATTCTGTTGTCAATCCGTCGTTGATATTTATTTTTTCATCAGTTTTCGTATATCAAAGTGATTCAGAATGGATCATTGCCCCCTGAACCGAGGATTACCATAGGATCCACAGGCTTCTAAACCATCCAATACGGCTTAATAAAAAAAGCACAACGCGTAATCACGATGAAATCCCCAACTTCCCTCCCCTCCCACATTCCCCGTAAAGAACAGCCAATTTTTTTGAAATTCCCTGATAAAACACAAGAGTATCCAGACTGGAAAAAAAATCCAATGGGGCTCCACCCGGTCGCCCATTGACTTTGTGTTCCCAGGCCGCGAGTGCGCCACACAAGTGGGAAACATTCACGTACCTGACGCCAACATTCTGCGACCACTGCGGCTCGATGCTACACGGTATCGCGCATCAGGGACTCAAGTGTACAGGTACAAAATGCAGAGAAAAAAAAACCTAGGGGCTAGAGGATCACACGTAAATAACTCGACAAAAAAAAACATCATCCCAGGGTGCTTTGAATTTTCCATCGATTCAGAGAGCCACATCATGCGTTCGTTATTTCCATTTGATATTGTTCTCCCTCGCGGGAACAATATTCTCCATTTTTATGGGAGTGCACAAACATCCATTCCATCAGAGCGCGTTTGTCACTCACGTCTGGGGGATGAATATTCGGAATGACAGGAGAAAAAAAAAATTTGAAAAAGAATTTTATATTTTGCGTTATTTTTTCGGGAAGAAATTTTTTATCTGGCTTTATCGTTATTTCGTTTATCTAAATTGTGAGGAATCTTTGAGATTGTAGCCCCCATGCCTAGAGAAATAACGCATTTGAAGAAAATAAATTTATTTGGATGAAATAAATCTCGTCTATTCCACATTTTTATTGGAAATTAATAAATTCATAGATTTCTTTCAACGAAATTTTTTTAATTACGTAAAATAAATAATTCATTCGAAAAATAATCTCATTTCTGATCAATAGGATTTTCATTTGAATCAAGGAAACATTTACTTTTCTATAAAAAAAAAACAATTTATTTGTTGTAAATTAAAATTGAGTTTAAGTGTGAATAAAAATCTATTTATTTGATTTAAATAAACCATTTCTTGTGGTAGGCTTGGTCCTTGTATTCCCTTTGTTAGAAAACTCTTCAATAATTCCTCATGTTATCCCCATTTTGTAAATCTCCAAGTAATTTTTGACTGAACAATTAATTATATTCATATGAGATCAGGCGTTAATCTCTTTTTTTGTATATAACAAAAATTCGATAAATACTCAGAACGACAGGAGAAGAAATAAATTTGAAAAAGAATTTTATATTTTCTGTTATTTTTCCTGAAAAAATTTTTTATCATGCTTTCACGTAATTTTGAATATCTAAATTGAGAGAAGTCTTCGTCAATGTTCGGATTGTAACCTCCAAACCTAAAGAAATGACGCATTTGAATAAAATAAATTTATTTTGAGGAAATAAATCTGTTCTCTTCAAAATTTTTATTGGAAATTAACCAATTCATAGATTTGTTTCAACGAATTTTTTTTAATTACATAAAATAAATAATTTATTTGAAATATAATTCCATTTCTAATGAATAAAATTCTTATTTGAATCGCGGAAACATTCATTTTTCTATAAAAAAAAACAATTTATTTGATATAAATAAAAATCAACTTTGAATTTGAATAAAAATCGATTTATTTGATTCAAATAAACTATTTCTTGTGGCAGGCTTGTATTGCTTTTGTTACAAAACAATTCAATAATTCCTCATGTTATCCCCATTTTTGTAAATGTTTAACAACAAGTAATATCTATATCAGACCAGGCTTTAATCTCTCCTATTTTCTTAGAAAAAAAATTCGACTGTTTTTTTGTTGTATTGTGTAAGCATCTCCCTCGTAACCTTCGATCACAGAATCCAATGCAAAATGGGATAACTAAAATGATTTCAAAAGTAATTCGATAATCTTTGTGATTTTTTCCCCCTGACGAATGTTTTGATCATGCTTTTACGTAATTTTTTGTTGTGCTAAAATTCATGAATAGTTTTGCCTGCACTCGCATCGATTATATATCACGCACAATATCACAGTAAAGCATGATTATATTATTTTATCACGTATTTTATTATTTAATAACATATTGGATCGACAAAACTGGTGTGAAAACAAAAAGTTTCGAAATATTTAAATTGTTCGTATTTTCTGTCAATGATATGTAAACCTCCATTTATTGTTAAAAAATTCGCCAGTAACTGTTGACTTTCCATTTGTTGCTGTATTGTTGATCGAAGCGTAAGCACAGAAAACGATAGCTCCAATTTAATTTAACTTTCATTGAAAGTTGATATCATGAGAAAATGGGAAATTGTGTTAATTGGGGTATTACGTATGATGATAACAGTTTGAATTGAATTGTAGATTATTTTTCCCAGCAATCGTTCTGTGCATACGCGATAGAGACCCTGGTATTCCCCGGGTAATGAGAGTAAATAGAGATATTACCATGAGAAGCGAGTTGTGACGGTAGATGTAGAGGAGGCAAAGTGGCCCGATGTTCCCCACAATTTTGATTCGTAATTTTTTTAATGAATTTCATCTGATGGTACTTAGCATGCGACATGAACGTTCACAAGAGGTGCGAGGAGAGCGTGCCCAATCTCTGCGGATGCGATCACACCGAGCGACGAGGACGCATAAATCTCAACATCTCATGCACGGGTACCAAACTCAACGTAGAAGGTAATTTATCATGGAATTGAGACATCAATTCTAAGATTTTTATCTCTTGATCATTAATATTGGTTTTTGGTATTGGATACTGGAACAGCAAAGTCTGAGAAAAAGTAGCTAGAAAATCGTGGCAAATTTTATTGTACGAAAGATAATGGTAGAGCGAATTAACTGTAATTCAATGAAAAAGTACCTGTTTGTGGAGGATATTTTATGATTCATTCGGTAAAAAAACACAAATTTTACCGAAAGCATTCGGTGAAGATCATTCTTCATGACATAAAAATAATTTCGGAATACAGTCGAGTTTTTATATAAGATACCTGTCTATAAGATACCTAGAGCTTCGAGCGCTCGAGGCCTACCCCCACTCTCGACACTTTTATCGCCTCCCGAGTGTTTAGTTTCGTGGGCTTCTTATAAGATACCTATGACCTCGATAATTTTTCAACGAAAAAAGAGTGATTATAAGGATCAAACGGAGTTGAGGGTCAAACGGGAGGGACGAACGAAGTGATCATAAGGGTCAAATGACCTTAAGGGTCAAGAGTTCAAACGTGAGAGTCAAGTGATGTAATCAGAAGGGTCAAACGATCCCAAGGGTCACCTCTTTTCTTCGACGCTATAATTATTAAAATGACGCAGAATAATCGTAATAGAATAAAGCCTAATTAAAATTCAATTACTTTACGTACTTTTAATAATTTGTACTCCAGCTGTCCAGAAGTGATTATTCTCAAGTCCCCCAACAATTCCCTAACATCAGCTGCCATTCTATCACGCGGGGTTATGTTTAGAGAGAAAAGGGAACGCGGGCTATACGAATTCAGTAAAATCCGTTCAGTAAAAATGAATATTCCATAGAATTCAGGCGCAACAAGCGAGGTATCTTATTTCAAACCGCCGATCCCTATTTTTCTCCTCTCTATAAGGGCGCGTAGTGGGGGCATACGGATTCCCAGAATTCCAGTCTTCTACTGTTCCTAAGGTATCTTATATTAAGCCTCGACTGTATTGAGCAATCATTCACTTTCACTGGGATAATTTTTGATGAAATGCAGGGTAAATTTTACAATTTCAGCACAAATTACCCTCAAAATATTAAAAATATATTCTCGATTCTTTCACAAACATTTTTAAGGCTATTTTACATGAGTGGTCCAATTTTTTACATTAAAAAACAACGAAACAACAAACTAGCTAACAAACACTAAGTCGTAATTGCTATTGTACACTTTTTTTTTAATTTTGAAAGGGAAAAAACCTCTGTATTTCAAAAATTGGAGGCCCTGGACTATTTCAAACATTTTAGGAGTCTACGGAGCGAACGAACAATAAATAATTATTTTTTTTGCACGAATTATTCATTTTTAGATATATATAATCGATCTTCAATGTATGAAAAATCTCACTTCTATAGCCCGCGACTCCCAAAACTCATAGTAGTTTCCCCTTAAGAATTCACTCTGCAGTACCAGTTAATGTGAATTAGATTTTTCTTCCCCGCCATCCCCCTCCCTCGATTAACCCCATATGAATTCTGAACACCCATGTATCAAATGCAGCTCGTAATCACGAATGCTGCAGAACTCCTCTCCTGCTGAATCGCCACCCGAATAATTTCAATCCAATATTCAGAGGATTAGAAGCATTGTGGACGGAATTAACTCATGTCACAATGGGATTAAACTCCCGGTTAATCCTCAATTATCCCAGTTGTTTTTTTATTACAAAGACTAGGGGGCTATACCCACTGTGCGCTTCGCTCGCCAACTCTCATATGACCCCCATGACTCTTATTCTGACCCTTATTTTGACCCCCATTGTCCTCATTCTAACCGTTATTTTGATCCCCATCACCATTTTTTAGATCCTTATTTCAACCCTTATTTTTACCCCATGACCCTTATTTAGACCCTTATTCTCTCTTTTCTCTTTACCCCCATGGTCCTTATTCAGACCCTCATTCTGAACCCTATGACCCTTATTCTGACCCTTGTAACTCTTAATTTGACCCTTGTGATCATCAATCTGACCCTTATTTTCTAACCCTTATTTTTACCCCCATGGCCCTTATTTAGACCCTTATTTAGACTCCTATGACCCTTATTCTGACCCTTATAACTCTTAATTTGACCCTTGTGATCCTTAATCTGACCCTCGTAAACTCTATTATAACCCTCATTATAAGCCTCGTGACCCTTATTTAGATTCTTGTGGCCCTTAGTTTCTAACCCTTATTTCTGGAGTTTTAATTCCGAGTACCAAATTTTCATCACCAGAAGTCGATATGGATTTTTAGAATATAGAAAGATATTACCCTCATGAAGCTTATTTAGACCTTCATTCTAACCCTTATTTTTACCCCCATGACCCTTATTTTGACTATGACCCTTATTCTGACCATTGTAATGCTTAATTTAACCCCAGTGACCCTCGCTACCCTCATTCTGATCCTTATTTTTACCCCCATGACCCTTACTTAGACCCTTATTTTGACTATGACCCTTATTTGAACTATGACCCTTATTCCGACCCTTGTAACTCTTAATTTGACCCTTGTGACCCTCAATTTGACCCTCATAACCCTCATTCTGACCCTTATTATAACCCTCGCCACCCTTAACTTGATCCTTGTGGCCATTACGATTTGGATATTTATAATATAGAGAGATATTACCCTCATGAAGCTTATTTAGACCTTCATTCTAACCCTTATTTTTACCCTCATGACCCTTATTTAGACCCTTATATTGACGCTTACTTGCACTATGACCCTTATTCCGACCCTTGTAACTCTTAATTTGATCTTTGTGACCCTCAATTTGACCCTCGTAACCCTCATTCTGACCCTTTTTCTAACCCTCGCGACCCTTATTTTGATCCTTGTGGCCCTTACTTTCTGACCCTCCATTTCTGATCCTTAATTCTGGAGTCTTAATTTCGGGTGCCAAATTTTTATCACCAGAACACGATTTGGATTTTTATAATATAGAGAGATATTACCCTCATGAAACTTATTTAGACCTTCATTCTAACCCTTATTTTTACCCCCATGACCCTCATTTAGACCCTTATATTGACTATGACCCTTATTCCGACTCTTGTAACTCTTAATTTGACCCTTGCGATCCTCAATTTGACCCTCGTAGCCCTCATTCTGACCCTCGCGACCCTTATTTTGACCCTTGCGGCCCTTACTCTCTGACCCTTAATTCTGAAGTCTTAATTTCGAACACCCAATTTTCATCACCAGAAGTCAATTTGGATTTTTATTATGTAGAGAGATTAATCGATTAAGCGATTGAAAAACATATGCCCTCTGGTAGATGAATTTCTCTCCATCAACATCAGGAGTCAATCAAAGCTACCGTCATTATCGTCCGCAATATCGTTTAATTATCGACACTAGCTCTTGTTATATCCCACAATAGTCCCCCCCTCCAACCCCGAAGAACTGAATTCAAACCGTCCAATGAAACTTGAACCACTGAGTAATTCCCACCTCCACGCGATACGCAAATGCACAGTCAACGATACCCGGGATATTCGGTAGTGATTAAATTTCAGGATAATTGGCTGCGAGAAGATTGTAGAAATTCACCCTATAACACTCATGTTATAATCGTTTACTTAATCTGCAATTATTGTAATTGAATTTCCAGTTAAAGCGGGAAGAAATCTCATTCCAATGGATCCAAATGGACTTTCGGATCCTTACGTTAAGTTGAAATTAATTCCAGACACGGATGGAGTTAAGAAAAAAACAAAGACAATCAAATCATGTTTAAATCCAGAGTGGAACGAGACAATCACTTTGTGAGTAGCTCAAGTTTAATCAAATACATTATTGTTTGAAATTATTCCAGTTGTTTCGGGAATATTTCTGCGGGAGATGTTTTAATTACATGAGATATTTGATTAATTCACTCATTCGATATTAATCTATGAAAGTAAAATCATTATAAATAAATACATTGGTTATTAATTATGAAGTCCTTATTTGGATAAAAAAATAAAAATAAAAATCGAGTTTAATTTCCAACGAAGGCTTTATTACGCGCTATTGAAACGAACTTATTTATTTAATTGAATAGAAGTTTCTTTAATTCAAATAAAACCATTGTCAATTTTTTAGCGTAAAAAACAAGGGGATAATTACATTTTTCAAATAACAGAGTATAATGTGCTGTAACTCAACAACGAATTGTGTGACTCCCATCATATTCTGATTGAATCAAGAGGGTATTATTAACAATTTTTTGAGTCATGACTAATTCCTTTTTTATGACAATTTTTTGAGTGATCGTTGAAAAATCGCTTTTTGGTAAATTATTAATTTTTTTGAATCTGTATGAAAAATTGAATTTTAATTGGTGTCAATGAATAGAGCTCATTAAAGTCTACATTCATGAAAAAATTCATGCACGGAGAGAAATATTCAATAAAAATTACGTATCTTTTCCATAATTCCGGAGCGAAGTGTGGTTGTAGGAAATTTTACGGAACTGTCACGGAATTTTTCCGGAGCGTTCCGTAATTTTTATCTGAATCTCTTGTGAAAAATTACGATATCGTCACTTAAATTTTCTGAGTCGATTCCGTAATCGGTGAGTGAAGTGAGAGTTCTGTAATTTTTACTGAACATTTCTCTCCGTGTGAAATCCGATGGATCGCTAACGAAGCTTCCATTCGGAAGCAAACATTATTACCCACAAATCTAAATAAATAATAAATGAACATTTTACACAGTGATCTGAAATCAGAAGACAAGGACAGACGATTACTGATAGAAGTATGGGACTGGGATCGAACGTCGAGAAATGATTTCATGGGTTCACTGTCCTTCGGTATATCTGAATTGATGAAGGCACCTGTCACCGGTTGGTTCAAGCTTCTCACCCAGGAAGAAGGTGAATTTTATAATGTACCAGTGCCAGAGGAGGGAGTTGATCTTGCCGAGCTTAAAACCAAGATGCGGGTGAGTTTTGTTTGTGCGAGTTAAATAGAATTTGCTCGGCAAAATGAGACGGAAATTGGAGGGAAAATTAAACAAATTTTCAGAAGACTTCAGTCACAAAGAAGCCCGTGATGACACAGCAGGAGAGGGATTTGCCACACAATATGGGAAAGAGTGATCTGATAAGAGCGAGTGATTTTAATTTTCTCATGGTTCTCGGTAAAGGAAGCTTTGGGAAAGTATTACTCGCAGAGAGGAAAGGCTGTGACGAGCTTTATGCTATAAAAATATTGAAGAAGGATATCATAATACAGGATGATGATGTTGAGTGTACTATGGTAGAGAAGAGGGTACTGGCGTTGTCACATAAACCTCCGTTTCTGGTGCAACTTCATTCCTGCTTTCAGACTATGGTAGGTCTTTAATAATTCTGCTACGGATGAATTTTTAATTTTTGATTATTTATGGGATGAAAAGCAGCGATTTGAACTCTTTCAAATAAATGGAAATCGAGGGAGATGATTGGAGTCAAGGGAATTATGAGAATTATTTCGGGACAATTTAATTTGACATTCGTGGAAAACTAAATTTGTGCCCTTGTACCTTAATGTACTATTATATTCTTTCCGTGTATTGATGTCAAGCTGCATGGGTCAAATCGACATGACCCATGATTTTGGTTCTCGCTCTTACCGTTGATTTGACCTATGCGGTATCACCAGATCAATTAAATCATTCTTAAAGTCAGTTACAGAAATAATATCATGTTTTTAGGGTTATTTCGTGTGGGTTAAGTCGATGTAACCCATGATTTTGACCTCCACTATATATTTGATCTATGCGATATCCATAAATGGATGAAATTATTCTCGAATACGGTGGCAGTGGTGAAATAATGTTTTTAGGGTGAAATCGTGTCCGTCAAATCGATTTGACCCATCATTTTGACCCTCACAATTACTCTTCATTTCACCCATACAATCTTACCAAATAAACAAAATCATTCTTAGAGTCAGTAGCAAAAATGGAGTCATGTTATGGGAGTTAATATGTGTGGATCGACTCGATTTGACCCATGATTTTGACCATTACAATTATTATTCATTTGATCCATACGATATCATCAAATTAATCAAATCATTCTTTCATTCGGTTCCAGTAATAAAATCGTGTTATTCGGGTCGAATTATGAGGGTCAAATAGGTTGGATCTACGATTTTCACCCTTTATATCACTGTCTATTTGACCCATTCAATATTACCACATTATTCTTCTTCTTGTCCAAATCATTCTTGATGTCAGTTGCAGACACAAAATCATGCTTTAGGATCAATTTTTGTGAGTCAAATAGATTTGACTCATACTATTAATCCCAAATTCCATTTGACCCATGTGATTTCACTCATACAATATCACTCACAGTTATGGAATAAGTTATTGTCAAATATAATTATAAAATCGTGTTCCTTGGGCCAAATCATGTGGATCAAATAGGTTTGACTCATAATATTACTCCCAAAATGAAATTGATCCGTGTGATTTGACCCATCCAATATCACTAACATTTATGGGATCATTGATTATCAAATGCAATCATAAAATCATGTTGCTTGGGTCAAATTCTGTGCGTCAAATTAATTTGACCCAAGCAATATGATTTTATGATTACAGTGGAATCATAAAATTTTCAAATGGGTCACATCGATTTGACCCATATGATTTGAACCATTCGATGGCATCCAAATTCAAGAAATCATCAACGAAATCGAATTTCAGTCGCAAAAAATATTATTCCACATAAATCACCAAAATTCTCCGAAATGTTTCGAAATAAACAAACAATTAACAATATACTCTCGTTCCCAACCCCAACCAAATATTCTGTTTCAGGATCGACTGTACTTCGTAATGGAATACGTGAATGGCGGAGATCTGATGTTCCAGATACAGCAGTGCGGCAAGTTCAAAGAGCCCGTGGCAGTGTAAGTCTATGAATTGATTCAAAGAAAAAAACCCCATAACTCCTCGAAACTCAATTAAAAACTTTTTCCCCACCATTGAAATTCAAAAGAAGCATATCAAAATAGTAATCTAGATAACTGGAACTGGTGAATTCAATCAAAGTTGTATGTTTGCTTTCTACTCTCAGATTTTACGCCTCAGAAATAGCAATTGGTCTGTTCTTTCTTCATTCACGTGGTATTGTGTATCGCGACTTGAAGCTGGATAATGTCCTGCTGGATCAGGACGGCCACATCAAGATTGCTGATTTTGGAATGTGTAAGGAGGGCATTCTCGGGGACAGGACGACTAAGACTTTCTGTGGAACACCTGATTATATTGCTCCAGAGGTGAGCGATCATTTCAAATGGAACAAATATCTACATATATTTCGTATTCCTATTTTTTCTCAATATGTGACAACTCTATTTGTTTATTTATTTATGTCATGCGATGCGCAGCGTACGATAAACTCGACTTCTGCACGGTGTGACATAAAATATTATAGATCACTCGGGCATATACTTCGTTTTCAACGAATGTGAGTACATCAGTCACATTTGTCGAAACCGAAATTTGGGCCCTTGTACTCTAAAGTACTATTATAGAATACTTGAAAAATGTTGAAATCGTTCATCTTTTGGTCGGTGTCTACCTATTGGTCTGGTTACCCTGCACGGAGAGAAGAACAAACACGTCAAACAAGTCTTGTTTGGGCCAACAAAATCGCTAGTTGAAAATTGCAAAAAAAGAATTTGTTTGGTTCGAATTTGAAAGTCTCAAACAGAATAATTATTCTGCTTTCGACAGCAACGAAATATTTGGCTCAAGGGGCGGATAATTCACACCAGACGGTGCCTTTTCAGGATGAAAATATCTCATATGGAGGAATATTTAGCAACAAATATTTTATCCTTAAGTTACAAGATTGCTATCACATCATTATTATTGTTTCATTTAAGGGTTAATTTCTTGTCTGCGAATATTAGACAGCCGAAACGAAAAACTACTATCCCTTGTTTCGCATAAAACAAAGATTTTTCGGGAGCTAAATACGTATGGGAGTATCAAATAACGAAGGAGTAGTGCTAGAAATGCCATTTCTTGCTTGTACAGAGAATGCAATTTTGTTTCAACTACTAAATCTATTTTTGCGACAAAAATTTTTCATTCTGGTGCACTCTCTGTATGTTTGACACAAAAAAATCCTTTTTTGATAATTTTCAAAAAACGATTTCCTCGGCACAAGTAAGACTTGTTTGAGAACTTTGTCGTTTTTCTCTCAGTGTACCAATCGCCGCAATGTGTAATCGCGGGACAAAACCGCAGCGAATTATCGCAAATTGGATTTCTGTACTGGGGAAGTAAAGAAATCATTGGGTATTTCAGATAATCCTTTATCAGCCCTATGGAAAATCCGTTGATTGGTGGGCATATGGAGTATTACTCTACGAAATGCTTGTTGGTCAACCTCCTTTCGACGGTGAAGACGAGGAGGAACTGTTCGCTGCTATCACTGACCAGAGCGTTAATTACCCAAAAAGTCTATCAAAGGAATCAAAGGAAGCTTGCAAAGGGGTAAGTTCCACACTACAATGATAACTCCTTATTCTTTCCCCAACAAACTTCTTCATTCTACATTTTTCAAGACGCAGTTCTGGTTTAGTTGTAGAAGGCAAGCATACCTACAGCAGAAAAAAACAAGCTTTTATTTGAGATTCTAACGGTCTTGAAAGAAAATTTTCCGACAACCTTGATTTAAATCTTTTAAAATTAATTTTTCAATTAAAGATTTGAAAGTTTCAAATGAAGACTTTTGAAAAATTCGATTTGAGTCTTAAACGTCTCAACGTAAAACTTTCAGGACTGAATTTGAGATTTCAGTGAACATTCGAGAGAATAACGAAAATTCTGGTGAATTTCGGTACTAAATATTCATTTTCAATTGAGAACGTAAATAAACTGTTGAATTGTCGTTTCATTTCCACTTAAAACTGATTAATTCACTTGCATTCTACGCGGCCCTTGAGATTTCATGAACTTTTTTTCCCTAAATCTAATTCAATACCATTCTTCTGAAAATTATTACAAAAGTTCCGATGAAATTTCAATTTTTTCTAATAGTGAGGATTAAAAATGCTCAAGTTGAGTTCTAAAAGTCTCAAATTACAGTTTAATTGTCCTGTATGATAATAATAATCCTAAATTAATGTTTGAAACATATTCAAATAGTCTCCTCAAACAAATTCTCTTTGCAAGTCGAAGAACTTCGCTGCGCAATCCCCACTCCTTCCCAGAGAAGAAGCCAAAGAAAACTTTTAAGACAGAAGTAGCGAAGTATTTACATGCTTTATCTCGACGTAAAAACAAACTTCGAAGCATTGTGAAGAACCTGAGACCCCCCATGAATTCATTCAATTAAAAACTCTTCAATTATAATTTTTCTTCGCAGTTCCTAACAAAATGTTCAAACAAAAGATTGGCATGAATATTTTCTCAACTTGAGACTTTCGAAAATCGTAAGTTAAGATTTTAGTGAAAATTGGTAAAAATAACGGAAATTCAAGTGAATTTTGGTACTAAATGTTCATTTCTAATTGAGAATGTAAATAAACTGTTAAATTTTCGTTTCATTTCCACTTCCAATTGATTAATTTACTTGGATTCTACCCGGACCCTGAAATTTTATCAGCGTTTTTCCCCTAAATCTAATACAATATCATTCTCTTCAAAATGATCGCAACAATTCCTATGAAATTTCCATTTTTTTAAGACTGTGAGGATTAAAAAAGCTCAAATTTGAGTTCTAAAAGTCCCAAATTAAAGTTTAACTCTTTAAAGAACAGATTGGCATGAATATGTTCTCAACTTGAGACTTTCGAAAGAGATTTCAGTGAAAATTCGGAAAAATAACGGAAATTCAGGTGAATTTCGTCAATAAATATTCATTTCCAATTGAGAATGCAAATAAGCTGTTGAATTTTCGTTTCATTTCCATTTGAAATTGATTAATTCACGTGCATTCTACTTGGACCTTGCAATTTCATGAACTTTTTTCCTCTAAATCTAATACAATACCATTCTTTCCAAAATGATCGCAAAAATTCCTAAAAAATTTCAATTTTTTTAAGAGTGTGAGGATTAAAAAAACTCAAATTTTAGTTTTAAAAGTCCCAAATTAAAGTTTATTTCTTCAAACAAGATTGGCATGAATATGTTCTCAACTTGAAACTTTCGAAAGAGATTTCAGTGAAAATTCGGAAAAATAACGGAAATTCAGGTGAATTTCGTCAATAAATATTCATTTCCAATTGAGAATGCAAATAAGCTGTTGAATTTTCGTTTCATTTCCATTTGAAATTGATTAATTCACGTGCATTCTACTTGGACCTTGCAATTTCATGAACTTTTTTCCTCTAAATCTAATACAATACCATTCTTTCCAAAATGATCGCAAATATTCCTAAAAAATTTCAATTTTTTTAAGAGTGTGAGGATTAAAAAAACTCAAATTTTAGTTTTAAAAGTCCCAAATTAAAGTTTATTTCTTCAAACAAGATTGGCATGAATATGTTCTCAACTTGAAACTTTCGAAAGAGATTTCAGTGAAAATTCGGAAAAATAACGGAAATTCAGGTGAATTTCGTCAATAAATATTCATTTCCAATTGAGAATGCAAATAAGCTGTTGAATTTTCGTTTCATTTCCACTTGGAATTGATTAATTCACTTGCATTCTACCCGGACCTTGAAAATTATTGCAAATCTACCCACAAAATTACATTTTTTTCCAACATCCTCAAATAAAAATGTAACAACAAAAATAGCGCCATAAAAACAAACTTCGAAGTATGTTGAAGAACAACTCTGAGTTCATTCAATAAAAACCTCTTCGATTTTAATTTATCTCCGCAGTTCCTGACCAAAAATCCAAACAAGAGATTGGGCTGCGGCAGCCGCGGTGAAGACGACGTACGTGGTCACGCTTTCTTCCGACGTATCGACTGGGACAAAATTGAGAATCGTGAGGTCCAGCCCCCATTCAAGCCAAAAATCGTGAGTACCAGAATCCTCCTTCATCCCCCCCCTTCCAATGAAATAAACTTCAACATAATTTAATTTCCTCTTTCAGAAACACAGAAAAGACGTGAGCAATTTCGACAAGCAATTCACATCCGAGAAGACAGACCTAACCCCTACCGACAAACTATTCATGATGAATCTGGATCAGACGGAGTTCCTTGGCTTTTCATATTTAAATCCCGAATACATTCAGCTTATTTAAATAATCATGAAATTTATCATTCGAGTGTCTCTTCATCTGTCAAACGACAAATATCAACTATCACTCTTCTCTCCTCCCCTTTCATTACAATTTTACGTTCATCCCATGAGCCAGAAAGCCCTGATCATCAACAAATTACGAGAATCTCTACTTTAACATTAAGAAACAAGAACACTAATCCTCTTTCTCGCTCACTGAAAATCTCGTCGAACGAGAGTATTTCAATTAGTCGTCGACGTTTCAAAGAAGAAAAAAAAGAGAACTACTAATATTTTGAATTTTAAACTCTGTTCCATATAACTTATAACTACGTATACTGACACTTTTTAATGTATTTTCGATGACTCGCGCGAGTGAGTGCCGCGCATTCACTCAGCGATTTTATTTTCCTGGATTAATGTATTTGTAATCCGGTTTTAACCTCAGAATAATACAGTATGAAATATGAATTAGGAGATAAATAACATGAGTGAGTAAAGAATATTCGACACTTCCTAGTAGAACAAGAGTATTTTATTTTTATTTGTAAAACAAGGGTATCTCTGAATTCCCTATAAAACTCATCTATCTCAATTTTCCGTGGAAAACTCATGTAACTCAGACGAAATAAAAAAAGACTTATCTCAGTAACTCTGATTAAATAATGTGCAAGTGGTACTCATTTAATATGTATAATAGAGAATTCAGAGAATTCAGCAATTCGTTTATTTTAGTCCCACTCCTCAAACTTCACGATACTCCCATACAACTCAAATCCATGCAGCTGTCAAAAGCATGAAAACGTGAGTGTTTGAGAATTAATTCCATGTGGCACGTGCCGATCAAGATGTCGAAACAGATACCTTCGATACCTTCGAATTATTCTGTTCCTACGAGGCGTAGTTATGCACGTAAGTCCTGGCTTCTCACTCTCTCAATTTCTTTTCCCTGTATCCGTATTTTTATTCCGAGTCATAGAATTCCATACATGTCCGTTCCAAAACTCCACTACACTCGTTTCAAGAAATGATTTCAATTTTCCTATTGATGAATTCTGGATTGATGATCTACCCACTCAGTTCTCCCGTTGAATTCTTGATGTGATCACTCCACTCGTCCCTCCCATTCATTTTATTAATTCTCTGGCATGAATCTCTTATCATATTATAAATTCACAATATGTCTACTAAATCAGTTAAACACTATTTAATCAGCGTTCACGAAATAATTTTTTCTGATTTCGTTTGAGTGTGACGAGTTTTCCTCGGAAAATTCAGATATATTACTTTTATAGGGAATTCTGAGATACCCTTGTTTTAAAAATCAAAATGAAAAACCCTTGTTTTATTAGAAAGTGTCGAATATATAATGTTATAGTAGAGGGAGAGGGAGAGGGTAGGAGGGAAAGAATAGGAGATCGACGAAACAAGACAAGTAGGTTTGATGGATTCAATTAAACAAGTAATAAGAGATGTATGAATAAACTGTCTTCGTTTTTCCGCGTATTTTGCATTTACTTCGGTAGTTTCTACTGTCGCCTTCCAGAGTTATATACATTATACGTATACGTATTATTGAATGAATGGATATACAATTATATTTGCGATTTGTCATGTAACTCAAATGGCAGGTCCGTAAATTATTTGAATAGAATAACGAAAATGGAGGTTTTAGCGATGGAGTCGAGTGCTGGGACTGTGAATTTATTACAAAGAAGTACTCGACTCGTCGGATTTGACGGATGATGGTCGAGGAGGAGCGAGAGAGAAGGAGATTGTGAGGATGAATATCGCGGAATGGGGATTATGTGGATGATAATGAGAGATGAGAATTGAATGAAGGATTGGGAGGGAAGGAGAGGGATGAGACAACGAGAGCAACTGAGTTTTTGAGGGGTTGCTCGCTTCAGGAGTGGGGAACATCGGAGTTGACCCATGTTAGGGGACCGAAATATGAAAGTCAAGTGAATGAAATGACTTCAGTGAGTCAAATCCATTTGACCCATACGTTTTCACCCAATGTTCAGGATTTCGAGAGTAAAATTGAATCCATAAATTATCTGACAGATTGAGGTGCTATAAAGTGGGTCAAATTGTGAGGGTCGAATATCGGGGGATAGATATATTGGACTAAATGGATTTGGCTCACAATTTTTATTGGGTTCAGGGTCAAATAGATTTAACCCTAAGCGCCGCGTCAATCGTTAGCTAAGTCACTTCAGTCTTAGACGCAACATAAATTGCGGGTCACATCGATTTGATCCCAAACGTATTGTAATTTGTGGGTTAAAATGAAGGGTGAAATTGATTTGACCCTCAGTGTAATATAAATTAATGGGTATAGTCGATTTCACCCTAGACGCAATATTAATCGTCGGTCATATGGTTTGACCCATGATACGGGACCTAAATATGAAATTGAAGTAATTGAGATGACTTCAGAGAGTCAAATACATTTGACCCATACGTTTTGACCCAATTTTCGGGACTTCGAAAATGAAATTGAATCCATGAATTATCTGAAAGATTGAGGTGCTGTAAAGCGGGTCAAATTGTGCAGATCAAACATCGGGAGGTCAATATTTTGGGCCAAATGGGTTTGGCTCATAATTTTTATTGCATTGAGGATCAAATTGATTTAACCCTAAGCGTCGCGTCAATCGTCAGCTAAATCACTTCAATCTTAAACGCAATATAAATTGCGAGTCAAATCGATTTGACCCCAAACGTATTGAAATTTGTGGGTTAAAATGAAGGGTGAAATTGATTTGACCCTCAGTGTAATATAAATTATGGATATAGTCGATTTCACCCTAGCTGCAATATTAATCGTGAGTCATATGGTTTGACCCTTGTTACAGGACCCAAATATGAAATTGAAGTAATTGAAATGACTTCAGAGAGTCAAATACATTTGACCCATACTTTTTGACTCAATTTTCATGATTTCGTTAATGAAGTTGACTTCATAAATTATCTCACAAATTCAGGTGCTATAGAGTGGGTCAAATCGTAAAGGTCAAATCGTGAGGGTCAAACATCGGATGATAAATATATGGATTTGACTCACAATCTTTATTCCACTGAAGGTCAAATCGATTTGACCCTAAGCGTCGCTTCAATCGTCAGCTAAATTAATTCAATCTAAACCACAATGTAAATTATCGGTCAAATAAATTTGACCCTAAACGCATGATAAATTGGGAACATAGTTGATTTAACCTTAGACCCAATGTTAATTGTGGGTCATACGGTGTGACCCATATTATGATCAAATAGTAATGGTCAAATCGTGAGGGTCAAATATAGGATAAACACTGTGGGTCAAATAGATTTCATACAATTAACTTCACAAATGATTCCACAAATTTTTAAGATAACGGACGGGTCCAATAATGGTTAAATCAAGTGGTTCAAATATTATAGATCAAACATGCGTGAAATCGACTCCAGCAGTGATAGCCCCTCAACACTCTCAGAACCGAAGAAAACCATGAAAAAAAAAAACGTTTTTCGAGGGTGCGTAAACGAAGGGAAAATATACATTTCGTATTTTTTTAAGCGCGACGTCACGATTGTATATACACCACACACATAAACACGTAGATGAGAAAAACTGCGACAGCAGGATAAAACCAAGAATCATAGAGAATTTATTACACACTTGATTACACGATAATAATTTATTCGCTGACGTTGACATGTAACTCTACAAGAGAGGGACAGCATAATCAAATTGGCTGTGGACATTAAATCGAGTTGGATTGCGGTACGAGGTTCATGGGGGGTCGAATAATACTTCAAACCCATTCAAAATTATTAGAAATAATCAGTCATGATGATCGAATCGTCTGTCTGCAACAAGAATTCCTTTGAAAAAAATTGGAAAAAGGAGAAAAACTCGAGGGTTTTTTCAAATTCTCAATCTTTCCCTCCCCCTCTCTACCTCCAACCCCTCTGTCTAACTCGCCCTTTCGCTTATTAATCTCTATTCTTTTTATACACTCTAGTGTCCCGACGTTATCATCGGCGTGTAAACTCGACAGTACGAGAGTCTAAAGTATTTTTTTCTCTTAATTAATTGTTAGTCACTGAAGATAATTCCAAGTTTTCCAATTTTCATGTTAAATAAATCCATTAATTCATTTACTAATAATTCAATATATGAATTTAACTAGGTAAATTCAGTTTTCAGTGATTGTTGATTAATTAAAATATATTAGTGTGTAATGAGGTAGGGATGAGAGATGAAGATGAATCTCTCGCAATTGATTTTATCGTCGAGTGCGACTTTCTCTCGCAATAACTGATAATTGATTAATAATAGGATATCGGTACAATAGTTTATCGATAAGTTTTGTGGTGATTGATTATAAGTTGCAAAAGGTGAAACGCAATTCAGTGATCACGTGGTGTTGGTTTTTCCAGCGGAAATTGTGGAAATAGACGTGATAAATGGAATGTTTTTTTTGAGATAGAGAAAGGAAAAGTGAAGAGACATCTGTTCCGGATTATCATATCTCGAGTACCTTCGTAGTTATCGTAGAGTACGGAATATCATAGACAAAGTAGGATGATGATGGAAGAATAATCAGCGTGAACATTGTTTTGATGATAATTCTCCTTTTCTTTTCCCCTGGTTTCACGGATGAAAAGATTTAATTGAAAAACGTAAGGAATGAGTTAGGAAATTCTACTGGTTGGCTATTGAAATTTACATCTGTTTTTCGTCGATCCTATTGAAGAATTCCGCAGCTTATCTCTGCATTTTTTTTCAGTAGAAATGCTTAATGGAAAATATTCTATAAAAAAATCAGTAGAATTGAACTTTCTATAGAAATTTTTCGGTTCGAATTTTGCAAGTTTTTTGATCTGATTTTTTTATGAGAAGAGAAGAAAAGTAGAGTGAATGAAGTCAAGGAATTCCCATAGAAAATGCGTCAATAGAGAAAATGGTATAAAACGATGATATTCTCCTGATTTTCCTGTAAAATAGTCTCTACTGTGAAAACAGTAAAATTTTTCTATAGAAGTTTAATAGAGATCCCAAAAGAATTTTCTAAAGAATTTCTATAGAATTTCGCATTCTTTTTCAGTAGAAATGTTCAATAAAAAATATTCTACAGAGAAAATTAATAGAATTAAATTTTTCTATAGAAATTTCTTGGTTCAAATTTTCCAAATTTTTTGTCCCATTTTTTTAATGAAAAAAGAAGAAAAATAGAGTGAAAAACACTTAGAAAATTCTTGTTGAGGAATTTCTATAGAAAAAATCAATAGAACTAGATTATTCTATAGAAATTACTCGCTTCAATTTTTTTCATTTTTTTTGTCTCATTTTTTAAATGAAAAAAGACGAAAAGTAGAGTGGAAGAAACTTGAAAAATTCACGTGGTGGAATTCTTATAGAAAATGCCTCAATAGAAAGATGAAATTCTCCTGATTTTTCTATAAAATAATTTCTATTAAACATTGTCTATTAAAAAAAACACCCAGTAAAGCACCGGAATTTTTTAATAGAAATACAATAGAATTTTCTAAAAAAAATCGCTAGGTTTTTCTATAGAACTATTTCGTACGTGTGTCAGAGGAAGGAAAGGAAAATCATAGGGAAGTCATGTAATGCGTCTCATCGATGCGAGAATCTGTGACGCTGGTCCTTCACGATGACTCCTTTGAGATGAATATGATGAAATTCTCTCAAATTAGACTAGATTACAATCGTGAGAACTGTCTCATTAGCTTTTCGTTGGTTCCTGCGCCCATCGTCACTTTCTCGCATCTCGGAATACAGATGAATTTAATAAATGTGAATCTCCGATGATCCGTGACGCCCACATGAATAAATTTGTTCTATGAAAGCTCCGAAATCTATTCTTGTATCAATTTCTCGAAGAGTCTTCCACGTGTATCGCTCGCGCGCTTGTTAAATGACATGTCGAATATTTTATTCCTCTTTTTAAGGGGTTTGTTCCTTTTATTCACTAATCATCGTTGATCATTGGTTAATTGTTAATTTTTATCTGTTAATTTCATTGTCCTGTTGTCTTCCTCTACTCTCCTCGTGCAAAATAATGAGTGGCTACTAATTTGTGATTTGTTAAAATAAAGTTATTGGAGCGTTTGTTCTCGTGGTTCATGAAATTAGCTCAATTAAAATTTTATGACGAGTTGGGGTGATTGGGGAATGATTTGGGGGTGGGGGGGTTTTGGGAGGGGTTACTCACTCCAAGATTGAGGGGGTAATTATTTTGTGGCTTCGGGAGTTAGATGATGCGGGCTTTTTAGTGTAATGGAATTTATGGATGATTTATAAGTTAGGGGGGAGGGTCAAATATGGGTCAAATGGATTTAACCCACAATTTTTATTAAAAATTGTTTTTTTTAGGGTTAAATTGATTTGTTGCTGAAGTGAATATAAACTGTAGGTTAAATTAATTTGGCCTTCAACGTCATAGTAATCCTAGGGTAAAGAAATTTGACCTTAAATGCAATACACATTGTGGGTCAAATAGATGTGGGTCGAATTCATAAATGAATTTAAGCCACAATTTTTATTGCATTGAGGGTTGAATCGATTTGCTTCTAAAGACAATACGAATTGTAAATGAAATTGTTTTCACCCTAAATATAATATAAGTTGTGGGTCAATTGTATTGGACGCAGAACCCAAAATTAATTGTGGGTCAAATCGACTTAACTCACAATTTTTATTGGGTTTAAAGTCAAATCGATTTGGCCCTAAGCGCCATATAAATCCTGGGTTAATTGCAATATAAATTATAGGTCAAATCGATTTGAGTTTAGAAGAAATAGTAATTGTGGGTCAAATGAATTTAATTCTCAGTTTTTATTGAATTCGAGGTTGAATGGATTTGCTTCTGAAGACAATATAAATTGCAGGTCAAATGTATTTGACTCTGAATCCGATATTAATTGTGGGTCAAATGGATTTAACTCACAATTTTTATTGCGTTTCGGGTCAAATAGATTTGGTTCTAAGCGTCATATAAATTGTGGGTGAAATCAATTGAACTTGAGACGCGATACAAATTGTGGGTCCGATTTGACCCTGGAAGCAATACTAATTTTGGGTCAAATGGATTTAACCCACAGCTTTTATTGCATTTCGGGTTATATCGATTTACTTCTGAAGACACTATAAATTGTAGGTCATAGTGTTTGGACCCTAAATGTAATTTCAATTGTGGGTCAATTGTATTTGACTCTCAAGTCAATGTTAATTGTGGATCAAATCGATTTCACCCTAGAAGCAATAAATTGTGGGTGAAATAAATTTAACCTCAAACGCAATATAAATTGTGGCTCAAATCGATTTCACCCTAGAAGGAATGTTAATTGTGGGTCCAATGGATTTAACCCACAGCTTTTATTGCATTCAGGGTTGAATCGATTTGCTTCTGAAGATAATATGAATTGTAGGTCAAATTGTTTTGACACTAAATGTAATTTTTATTGTGGGTCAATTGTAATTTCCACTAAACCCAATATTAATCGTGTACCAAATCGATTTAACCGACAATTTGACCTACAAAAATTGGCCCTGAATCACATGATTTCGTGACTAAAATTGACCTCACAAATAATGCCACAAATTTGGATGGAATTTCATGGGTCAAACATGATCGGTCAAATTGCATAGGAGTGAGTAACCCCCATTACCGTTAAAAAAAATAAATTGTACGGAAAAATCACCAAACATTGTATGTAAGTATATTTAATGTGAGCTCATGTTATCGGAAGTGACCAGCGTCTTTTCATCCGTTGAATTGATTTTATTATTCATCCCGAGAATGAAAAATGACAAAAAAACATGACTCGGTGATGACTATTAAACCTTAAGAATTCATGAAAAACTGATGAGTATAAGTAGTTAAGATAATAATTAATAATTCCAAGTCGCGTAGCTCTCCTCTCCAAGTTGTAATCTATCGCTCTCTTATGGCGTATTGTATATGCATATATACATACACAAACATATATTTTTAAGATGTTTTTGTGCATTTATAATGTCGTAATAAAAGTTCCAGATCGTGTCATGACAATCAATTTATTCATTAGTGAAAAAACTTCATTGCTTACAGAATAAATAACTAAGTAGAACATTTTTTATGATTAAAGTAGACAAAGTGGAACGATGATAAGGCCATTATCATAGACGGTACATTGTTCAATTTATTATCTTGTCACTGAGAAATTTCATGGTTATCTATCATCAATCGAATGATAAGTCGATTTTATGTCTCTTAATTAAACCCTTAATCTCTAATTTTTTAATATCGTGAAGTAAAATGGGATTTCCACTTCACAGGATATCCAAGTACTTTGGTTATTTTTTCTCCAGTGAAAAAGCGTTTCTAATTTTGTAGTCGAACATTAGAACTTTCTTTTGAGTCCCACTTGACCCTAAGTTTCCAGACATTTTGCAATAATTTCATTGTTTAAACTTTGCAGGTCTGAATTTAAATCTCGATATGAAGCGCTTAGAAAATATTTTGAACATCTAAAAAAAATTCGAAAGTTTACTTTTGAAGGAAGATTGATAAAATAATTCAATCTTACTATTTTGGAACATTACGAGCATTTTTTATAAATAATTTAGAAACAATAAATTTTTCATCATGAAAATCATTTGATCGGAATCGTAACACAGTTACTCATATTGAGGATTTCATCAGAAATCGATTCTGTGACTAATCAAATAAGATTTCCGAAAGTTTGAACAATTTCAATTATTTATTTTTAAATAACGAAATTTGCAGACATTGGGATAATCATAAAATTCAATTTTGAATAACTAATTTGTTAATATTACTCAACGATTTTTCAATGATTAAATTAATCATCAATTAAATATTCAAATTCCGAATTATTTTCTGAATGAATAATTGAGGTCGGAAAATTGGCGATTATTTGGCTAATCGCAAATCCTCTTATGAAATTTAGAATTATTTACTCATTTGTCAATTGACAATTCCCTATCGTGAATTATTTAATTCATAGTCAATTAAAAATTTACATTACCAATTATTCAATTATTTTTCGAATTTCAGTGAAGATAAGTAAACTTTAATTATTGTAAGTTGAGACATGAAGTAAATTGTTAATATTATTCAATAATTTTTAAATTATGAAATTAATCATCAATTCCATATTCAAATTCCGAATTATTTTATGAATCAATAATTGAGTTCGGAAGATTGACGAATTTGGCTAATCGAAAACCTTCTTATGAAATTTACAATTATTTAGTTATTTGTGAATTGAGAATTTTATATTGTCAATTATTTAATTCATAGTCAATTGAAAATTTAAATTATCAATTATTTAATCATTTTTCCACTTCTGATAATATTACAAAAGTAATGATTAATGCCGATCCCTGCAAATTTGATTGAAAATATTTGAATCTATAGGGTGGCCTGTACCAAACAGTAAAAGATACTTGGATATCCTTGAAAGTCATACTGATAGGTCTTCTTTCCACTTTTCGCTCCAAAAAATTACATTATTCACAGGAGTTGATTAGCGTCCAACAGTTTCACAGATCCTCCCACAAATCCTCGGGTTCAGTGGTACGAGTCACACGCAGAGCCCTGGCGTATGCACGAGGCATATGCCAGAAAATGTGGAATGTTACTTTGTTCAATCGTACCAGTGAAGAGATGGGACCAAGGACCACTTGCGAATATGGCAACGTCGTCGCCACCGTGGGTCTCCGAACGGAGAGGAACGGTCGCTGCGTAACGATATTTCAAGTTTTCTGTAATGCGAAAGGGATTGATCAATTGATGCGTCACTTGAGTGATAAGAAAAAGGTTTATTCACATCTTTATGAATGTTGAATCATTTTAATTATGAGTGATTTCAGAGGGGAACTTCATTGGAAGTTTCAACGGTTCTTCGAAACCGTCCGTTTCCGGCGTTTCAAACCCGACGAAATGGGATTCCCCCTTTTTCTTGCATTTTCACCGCTGAGAGAGAAAATTAGTTCTGCCGAAAAATTACATGTTCCCCTGAAGAGATCTTTTGGCGTGTTGAATCAATTTACTTATTGGCAAAAAGAAAGTTTCCCACAAAACATGATAATTTTCGTAGTAGTAATTGTTCTCGTGAGACATTTATATATCTTTCGGGTAAAATACATTCGTTCTACAGAGAATTATATGAAGATCCGGTTTTATCAAGTGAATTTTATTGAGTAATGTATATCTTTGTCCAATAAACACTTATAATTTCCATGGAACAAATGATAATTTCAAGAGGAAACTACAATTTTCTTGCCGAAAACTGTGTTATTGGCAAAACTAAATAATTTCGAGGGGACAATTTTTTTTGGGAAAAAAATATTCTTTCCTCATCAATGTATTCGTTCTATGGTATAAACCTATGGAGTTCTCTCAGATCAAATGGGTTTCGTACAATAGATTATATTTTTTCCTGCCAACAGTTCGAATTCTTCTAAGAATATTTCTGATGATCACGACAAAAATCTAAATTTTGTGAAAGATATTAAATTTCCCTCAAGTAAATCATTCGACGGAGCTAATTTTTTCCCTCAGTGAAGGTGTTTTCTTCAGGAGATACTAATGATTGAAAATAGAAAATGCCCGTTTTTTCCAAATCTTATTCGAAGTAAAATTATCTTGATAATTAATGTTTTTTTTAAAAAACGTTATTCTACATTTTTTGTTGGGAATTTCATCAGCTACCAGAAATGTTATTTGATGTTTTCCTCTAAATGTATTCATTTCGGAGATAATTAACGTAATTAACAAGAATTCCTAATTTAGTTTTTTTTCTATTTTGAGGAACAATGAGGAAACCGAACTCTCTCTAACCTTAAATATTTCGAAAATTCCGATGAGATTCCCAATTTTTCATATACTAGATATTTTTTTCAACTTCACAATTAAAATCGACTCATCCACATCGTACGATTCGATCAGTAGATACTGACGGTTAAAGTCAGCCCATTTTATTCCGATTTCCTCTACTACTTCAAATGTCATTAAATACCAAATAATCTAGATAATTAATGGTTTCAGGAGAAAACATGTCATATATCTGCTGGAAATATTCTCAGCTACGTGAAAAATTTTCTGATGGTTTCCAAAACAAGAACTTGTTTCCAATATAATGGGACAGTGAATAAGAATTCCTAACGCAACTATTAACATTTGAAGAGACCATCCCTTAATGTAAATATTTCAAGAATGGAAGAATGGGATTCTCGGATTTTTTATTAATTTTCAAGATATGGTCGTTGGTTTCAAAATGAAATTCGACTCATTCAAATCTTACGATTTGATCAGTAGATATTGTCCATTAAAGTCAGCCCATTCAACTCCGACCTTCTGTACTGCTTCAGATCTTAATAAATAGCAAATTATTTCAATAATTAGTGGGTTAGAAAATTTTTTCAGCTACAAGAAAAATTTTCGGATGTTCTCCCAATTGAGTTTTCATAATTGGGAAATAAACAAAAATTCCTAATTGAATTTTTTACATTTGAATGGAGCGTCTCTAATTGTAAATACTTCAAGAATAACAGAATGAGATTCCCCAACTTTTTCTTAATTTTCGAGATATATTTTTTGAATTAAAAATGAGGCTCGACTCATCGAAATTGTACGATTTGATCAGTAGATACTGTCGATTAAAGTCAGCCCATCTTCCTGCGATCTTCTCTACTGCTTCAAATCTCATTAAATAGCAAATTATCTTGATAATTATTAGTTTTTGAAAATTTTCTCAACTGCAAGAAAAATCTTCTGATGTTCCCCCTCTATAAGCACTTGTTTCGAGGTAATTGGACAATGAGCAAAAATTCCTAATTTAATTACTTACATTTGAATGCATCGTGCAATTACAGATATTTCAAGAATGACCGAATGGGATTCCCCGACTTTTTCCTAATTTTCAAGATATTTTTTTTTACTTCAAATTTCAACCCTCCCAAATCGTACGATTTGATCAGTAGATACTGACGATTATAGTCAGGCCATGTTACTCTGACCTTCTATACTACTTTTATTTTATTGCAACTTTCTACACTACTTCGAATCTTATTAAATAGAAAATTATATCGATAATTAATGAAGAAAACATCATTTGACATTTCAAAAATAATTCTGTTCAAGGGTCAATGATAATGAACAAGAATTCTCAATTCAATGTTTTTATATTCAAAGGGAAACAAACCATTTATAACTGTACATATTTCAAGAATGACAAAATGGCATTCCTTGCCCATTTATTAATTTTCGAGATATAGTTTTTGAATTTAAAATGAAACTCGACTTATTTAAATCGTACGATTTGATCAGTAGATACGGACGATCAAAGTCAGCCCATTTCACTTCAATGTTCTCTACTACTTCAAATCCCATTAGATAGCAAATTGTCTCAATAATTAATAGATTCAGATGAAAATATCATTTGACATTTCAATCAAAATTATGTTCAAGCGTTAATAATAATGAACAAGAATTCCTAATTAAATTTTTGTCCATTCAAAGGGAAACAGACCATTTCTAAGTATGAAAGTATTTGAAGAATGGCAGAATGGAATTCCTTGACCTTTTATTAACTTTCAAGATATGGTTTTTGACTTCAACATCCAACGCGACTCAACCAAACGTACAATTTAATCAGTAGATACGGACAATTAGAGTCAGCCAGTTTCACTTCGAGGTTCTCTACTGCTTCAAATCTCTGAATAGCAAATTGTCTCGATAATTAATGTCTTCATGTGACATTTGAAAAAAATGTTTGTTCAAGTGTTAATGATAATGAACAAGAATTCCCAATTTAATTTTCTTACATTCAAAGGGAAACAAATAATTTCTAACTGTGAATATTTGAAAAATGACAAAATAGAATTCCTGGATTTTTTATTAATTTCCAACATAGTCTTTTTTCACTTTAAAATGAAACTCGACTCATCCAAATCGTACGATTTGATCATCAGTAGATACAGACGATTAAAGTCAGCCCATTTTACTCTGATCTTCTCTACTACTTCAAATCCCATCAAATAGCAAATTAATTAATAGCTATAATTAATGGTTTTAGAAGCAACCGCCATTTGAAAATAAATTTGTTCGAGGGTTAATGATAATAAACAAGAATTCCTAATTAAATTTTTTTACATTCAAAGGGAAACAGACCATTTCTAATTGTGAATATTTGAAGAATGGCAGAATGGAATTCCTTAGCCTTTTATTAATTTTCAAGATATGATTTTGCACTTCAAAATGAAACTCGACTCATCCAAATCGTACGATTTGATCATCAGTAGATACAGACGATTAAAGTCAGCCCATTTTACTCTGATCTTCTCTACTACTTCAAATCCCATTAAATAGCAAATTGTCTCTATAATTGATGGTTTTAGAAGTAACCGTCATTTGAAAAAAAAATTTGTTCGAGGGTTAATGATAATAAACAAGAATTCCTAATTAAATTTTTTTACATTCAAAGGGAAACAGACCATTTCTAATTGTGAATATTTGAGGAATGGCAGAATGGAATTCCTTGACCTTTTATTAATTTTTAAGATATGGTTTTTGACTTCAAAATTAAACTCAACTCACCCAAATCGTACGATTTGATCATCAGTAGATACAGACGATTAAAGTCAGCCAATTTCACTTCGATTTTGTCTACTGCTTTAAATCTCATCAAATAGCAAATTGTCTTGATAATTGATGGCTTTAGAAGAAAATATCATTTGAAATTTCAAAAAAAAAATGTTCAAGTATTAATGACAATGAACAAGAACTCCCAATTCAATTCTTTTACATTCGAAGGGAAGCAGACCATTTCTAACTGTGAATATTAGAAGAATGGCAGAATGGAATTCCTTGGCCTTTTATCAATTTTCAAGATATGATTTTTGACTTCACATGAAAACTCATCCAAATCGTACGATTTGATCAGTAGATACGAACGATTAAAGTCAGCCCATGTCACGTCGATCTTCTCTACTACTTCAAATCCCATTAAATAGCAAATTATCTTGATAATTAATCCCTTTAGAAGAAATAGTCATTCCAAATGTCCATTAGAATTTCTTTCAGTTACAAAAAACGTCTCCTGACGTTTTCCTTTCCAACCACTCATTTCCGAGACGAATGCACAATCGAAAAAAAATTCTAATCCTCCATATTACTCACCGACATCATCATTATCGATGTTGTGCCGATCCCCGTTGCTGGTAGTCATGTACCCAGGTCCATTAGCATAACTGAGTGTCATATACCCCAATTTATCAGACCCAAGGTCCGTGCTCTTCCCCGCAATTGGATTACCCCGGTCTGAGTACCCGGCGACGGTCATGGTGTGTGCATGATCGGCGGTAACGATGACCAGTGTATCGTCACTCGAAGTCAATTCTCGCCCCTTCTTAACGGCTTTCGCCAGCTCCACAGTCTCGTCCAGGGCCAATTTCGCCCACGCCGCGTGATGGGCGTGATCGATACGGCCACCTGTTGATCGGATCATCCGATTTAAAAGTATGTGAATAAAATCCTGTGGAGGTGTTGAGTGTAACGAGGTAAAGTGCATTCAAAGAGCCAGAAAAATATCAGTAGCGAAGTGGTAAAAGGAGAATAATCAATTCTGACTATTGACCAGTTTTCAATCAACATCTCGGAATCTAAGGGACATGGCAAAATTTTTGTTATAACCTTTTTTGTGGATCCGATTGAATGCTACAACAAATGTAGTTACGAAAATTGCGCTATCTCCTTTAGATTTGGAAATATTCTTCAAAAACTCAACTGGGAGATGAGTCGACTTATCTCCGTTTACCACTTCACTACTGATATTATTCATCATTGATAATTTTTCTCGTGAATTGCAAGTTTGATGAGTGTGAGAAAGTGATCAAATTTTGGCTTCAATCATTTTTTCAAACAATACATAATACGTAATAGGGGAGGGTAGGGCAAAACGGACCACTGATAGAAAATTGATAATTTTTGTTTTTGCTTCCATTCAGAAGCAAAAACAAAAAATCAAAGTCATCTGTGGTATGAGGTGATTAGCAAATCTGATCAAATTGCGGTTCAAGGATATTTGTTGTCTATAAAACCCCTGTGACGGTTACGATCCAAGAAACTCACTTTCAATTCCACGCATTCAGTTTTCCTGATTCGAAGGAAAGAAAAAAAATAAAAAACGTGGCGTGAGCCACAAACGAATTGTTGTTTCGAAGTTTGGTTAACGCGTCTCGAATATTCTATATCCTCGTATTCGAGACGGACATCATTGTGTCCTCCCTCACGAGATTTCTGGACGATTTCTGGACGGTTCTCGAACCTTCCATAACAGAAGCTATTTAACCCTAATCTGGTCACCTGACCGGAAAATGCGACTTTAGTCACTTTCTCAGGAGAGTGCCGCCGTGTTATTTAGGCTCCAGCGTTGCCGAATCCACTCTACACTTCCCGGGCGCGTTTAGCGAGTTTCCAGCAACATCGCGCAACAGGCAATTTCATTTAACACGGAAAAAAATTGTTCCCCTGTTGGAAATAATTTTTTTTCTTCCAGAATTAAGGATACATTATTGAAATAAAAATACTAGAATTTTCCAGATACTTCAATTGACGAATTCAATTTTTCTCAAATTTTTCCGGTCAACCAGTCGATGGCAAGGTGAATAAAACGACGTGTTGCGGCAATTCCCTCGCATGGTAACCAGTGTAGGGTTAAACTCGCACGCTCCCCGACGAACAGCTCAGTTGAATTCAGTTCGATTTATATATTCGATGTAACCACCACGGACGAAACAATTTAATAGAAAAACCTATCGAATTCGTTAGAAAATTCTATTGAATTTCTATTGAACTATTCTATTAGTTTTTGGACGATTCTATTCAAATGTTCAATAGAAAATATTCAGTAGAAAAAGTCAATAGAATTCAATTTTTCTACATAACTTATTCTATTAAGATATGTTCTATAGAATTCCCTCGGTTCAAATTTCCCAAGTTTTTTCGTTTGATTTTCTTGATGAAAATTTAAGTCGAGTTAAAACTTGGAAAATTTAAGTCGACCAAATTCTCTGGAAAATATATGAAAAGAATAAGTAATATAGAAAAATTAAATTCTGTTGACTTTTTCTATTGAATGTTTTCTATTGAACATGTCAATAGAATCAGCCAAAAACTAATAGAAAGCTTAATAGAAATTCAATAGAATTTTCTAACGAATTCACTAGGTTTTTCTATGAAATTTTTTCGTGCATGACATCTGTCTGCGATAAATACAACGCCTTTACATTCCACAACCACGAATTGTTATTGTGTCTCTATCCACCTAACCGCCACAAAAATTACCTTTTTTTGTTAATGGTCCTTTGGCCCTATTTCGAAAAATTTCTAACAGTGCCCCCTACCTTCCACGAAAAGCACAAATCCCATGTCATTCCTCCGCAAGACCTTGATGGCAGCTTCAGTCATCTCCGCAAGAGTGGGCTCGGTCTCCGGAGACGCCTCGAGATGGTACGGGCAGTGGCTGGCCTCGTAAAGCCCGAGGACATACTCATACCTTTCGGGATGGGAAATCATGTCCAAAACACTGGTCCTGTTCCACGAGTAGAAGTGGCTCCTCCCGCGGGACGCCTTGTCCCGTTTCCACTCTTCAATGAGATTCCTCCCGTCCGTGCGGACGCCCATCGTCCCCTCATCGTCAACAGTCCTCTTCCCCAGAAAACCTCTCCTGCCGCCGCCCATTATCACATTGAAGCTCCTGCCAGGCTCCTGAGTTACGAGCTGAGCTGCTATGTCCATGCATTTATTGGGGTTCTGTTTTCTCCGGATGACGTCGGTGTCACTCTCCCAATCGCGATCGGCTGCGTGAGCGTAACCGCCGCCCGGTGACGCGTGGGTCACGCGAGTCGTCGTGACGAACCCAGAGGACTTGCCGTATTCCATCGCCCATTGGAGGATCGACGTCAGGTGGTTCGACTCGTTGCGCTGGGTGCTGCAGTCCCCGCGGATCACGTGGCCGTTTATCCCGAGGGTTCCGTACTGGGTTTTCACGCCGGTCATGTAGGCTGTGCTGGTGCAGGCTGAGTCGGCTACTTGTTTATCCAAGCACCAGGTCTTGAATTATCGGGAATGCTGGGTTAATTTAGCGGGGGGTAACTCAATGTTTATATCGACACCTTAAGGGGTAACAGAATGCCGTTAATTTTCCAAGTTTTTGAACGAATTTTCTGCCGAAAGTTAGCGATATTTTTACAAATCAAAGCACATTAATGTCCAGGAGGCGATGCTGAAGGTCCATGTGCGTTGAATGTCAAAAATGTTAATAACTTTGAGCAGGAAATTTTTTTTGACAATTGCCTCAATTCTGATTTTGACCAATCAGAATGCAGTATTCGGGGTCCCGTGACGCGTTTCACACTGATAATTTCCCCGGCTGCAGGGAAATTCTCAGACTGATAATTTCCCTGTAACCTGTCAATTGTTTTCTACAAATTTGACAGATATTCCTCACATTTTGGTGAAATGTGTACCATAAGCCCGAACACTGCACCCTGATCGGCCAAAATCAGAATTGAAGAAATTGTCCTCCGAATACCCCTCGACCTTCGAAATTCATCGGATATTTCCCCCAAGTTTTCCTGCATATCAACGACCGGGATCAGTTTTACAGTAAAATCCCTCGTGCTGCGCGCTCGGAATTTTAATCTGCAAAACTGATCCCTCTCGTTGGTATGCAACAAAACATTCGGGAAATATACGATAATTTTGAAGGTCTTGGGGTATTATAGCTGAAAATTTCGAGGAAACGAGGCCTTCTGTTAGCCCTTAACCCTCTATTACTTGTGCTCGGCCGCCAGCCGTCATCCGTCGCACGATTAGTGCAGCGCCGCTGGGTTAAACCAAGCGCGCTGTTGCCACCTTAGCGCTTACCGCTATGCGCGCACGTCAAGTGTGGCAGTGAATGTAGCAACACTGTCGAACGAGGGGTCGACATGGACTCGCTCGCGCCAGGCGGCGCAGTTTTTCTATGAGTTCGACGTTTCTTTTCTTTTTTTAGACGAACGAATTTCCCGAGAAAAAAATTGACAACGCCAATACTTAATAAACCCGGAAACAAAAACTTTAATTGAGTATAAAATATACTTGATTGAAGTATATTTTATACTCAATTCAAGTTTTTTTTTTCGCGTAAGGATCGAACTAGGAACCCTAATTTTTTCAGAATTTTTAGGCGTCGAGAACGACGCACAAATATTTTAAAAAACGCGCGGCGCCGCGCCCGTTGAGCGAGTGATCGAGGGTTAATAACAGACAAGCGTATCTACATAGGGAACTCCCAGAACTTACGCCTGTCTGTTATTAAGATGTCGATATCTTTATATTCTTTAAGGGGAAACTACTATGAGGTTCAAAAGTCACGAGCTATTGCAATATGTTTACAATATTTTAATGAAGTAGAATTGACATGAAATTTCTGAATATGTTGTTATGGAATAGTCAATTAAATTCTAGAATATTCAACGAATTTGCGATTTGCAGGTTTAAATGACAATGAATACTGTTTTGAATTCTCAATCTGTTGAGAATTTAATTGAACGTGATGTTGAATTTTTACAATGATTTTTAGAATTCAGTCTGTCATTGAAAAACCTCATTTTTATTGAAACTCCAAAATCAACCAGAGATTTCATGAACAATTCAGTAGCGAAATGGTAAACCGGTATAAGTCGATTTTGACTATTGGGCAGTTTTCAATAAATATCTGGGAATCTAAGGGAAATATTGGTGTTATTTCCTTACAAAGTTGTAGAGCAAATTGAGAGCTACAAAAAAGGTTGTGACAAAAATTTTGCTATTTCCCTTAGATTTTGAGATATTCATTGAAAACTGGGCAATAGTCAAAATCGACTTATACCGGTTTATCACTTCTATTTACACTACTGAATTCAATATTAAATTGATTTCGAGTTCACAATATTGGAAATTGAAGTGCAGCTGTTATTTGAATTAAAGCAAATTCCAACAAAATTTTGGTTGGTGATAATTTATTCGTGACTTCATTTTTGGAACAACATTGAATGAGGAATCCCCTTTTTCCGTGTGATAACTGGACGTTCAACCCGACAATTCGATCAGAATCGATCGCCAGAGTGATCTTATCGATGATTGGAATATGCCAATCACTCACCTTTGATAAACCGGTAAAAGGGAAGGTCTCCCAATAGAGTTCGCCCTCCTCTCCCGATTTCCCCGTCAACTGTCCCTGATATGTTCTAGCAGCCATCAGGGTCGGAATCGACATGCCATCGCCAAGGAAAAATATCACATTCTTGGCTACATTGACATTGAGTTTTTTGTTCAGCTGATTGCGAAGGGATTTACTCGCCTCTTCCTCCCAATAACTTTTTTCTAGAACAAAGGAAATTACGTTGTTAGAAATTTTTCGAAATTTCATAGAAAATATGATGATAGATCTCATGAGAGTGACCTTGAATCCGATTTAAGGGATAAATGGTCATGTAACTTTAAGTTTTAAGTAGAATTCAAGGAAATTCATGAGTTTCCAGAGGGAGTGAGACGGAAATTTCACAACTTGAATGAATTTTCAATAAGACTTGTGTATTCAGATAGAAAATAACATGAATTTTCAATTTTTTGTTGAATTCTCCTGAGCTTAGCTTCCGAATGGAAGATTTATAATCGTTCAAATTTAACTGGGGTTTTTTTTCTTAATTTTTTTTTTAGATTTTTTTTTATAAGAGATCAATTGGATTCCATACATTTTTTCATGAATATAGACTTAAAATAAGTTTCATGAATTGATACCAATTAAAATTCAATTTTTCATACAAATTCGAAAAAATTGATATTTTTCCAAAAATCGATTTTTCAATGATCACTCAAAAAATTGTCATCAAAATGGAATTAGTCGTGGCTTAAAGAATTGGTAACAATACCCTCTTGATTCTATCAGAATATGATGGGGGTCGCACAATTTGTTGTTGAGTTACAGCAAATTGTTTATGCGATTTGAAAGAGAAAATCGTTTTTTTCATGTTTACTGAAAGAATCATCAGTAATAGCAATTAAATCAGGACTTGAAAAGTATATTTCAATGGCTTCTTAATCAAGTTGAAAAATGGTGAGAACAGCATCATTGCTTATCAAGTTACACAATATCGTCATGAGCTTTTTATATTAAAATGTCTATCTCTATTAAACTCAGGTTCCAGTTTATTATACTCAATAATTATTTGACAGAACGAAATAATATGCAAAATTTTGATGACATTCCAATTGATGATAGTACTATGACACGAAAAAATAGAAGAAGAGAATAGTGAACTAAGAATTAAAAAAGAGAATCCATTCGGAAGTAAATCGCTAATTTATTAGCAACAATGACTCAACTCATTTATTTAAAAAATATAATTGTCCACTTGTTTCGAATTTTCACGGAATAATTGAATTGAAAAATCAAGTGTTTTATTGATGTTCAGATGATTAGAACGGAAAGACAAAGAAATATTTGATTTTTCAACGACAAGATCTCCCGAAATTTCAGAGGAAATTAAACGTGATGAAAATTTTTGATATTTGCTGTGGAAAATTCAGACATTTTTAGCAGTGTATACAATTGTATCGAGAGAATTCTTGATTAATCGGAGAATTGTCGCATTGCGAGATCGATAATCAAATCGAGATAAGATATTCTACAAAGAGGAAACAAAAACGTGGGGCTGTGTTGATATCACGTGCACAGAGCACGTGTTTATTATCTTTTTCATTGTCTCACCTGCTTCGGAAGAATGTGCCGATTTAAATCTTGTGGCTATCTGGGGGAGGCGTGGATGCATCTGGTGGTCAATCACTTCGTCTAAAGTGAGGGAAATAAATTAATATATTAATGAATTCGAAGATATGCAATCGTTAAATCATCAATCAATCATGAGAGAAAGTCGAAGGAGAAAACAAAACACGGATACGAACCGTCATTATTTATCTTCGAACATTCAATTTTTATCAATCAATGATAGTAATTTTCTAATTGACGGAAATTCTATTTTCCAGGCATGAAATGGCTGTTTGTAAAATCTCTGATTTTTGACAAATTTATCTCCAAAAAAGTAAATTTTATATTCAAAGCAATAGATTGATCATTTAGAAATATCATAAAATTGTCGTTTCTTATAAAAAAATATATTCAAAAGGACTTGAAAAATTTGAGCCGCGGAATTACTACAAAAAATATTTTAATAAAATGAATTGTGTAATGAAAGTTAATTCTATCTTTTGTTTCTGTAGAGTATTTTCTTTTGAATATTTCATAAATAATGTAAATTTTTTCAATTGTCGGAAATTTCGCTAGTCAAGCATGAAATGGATTTCTATAAAATCTCTAATTGTTCAAAAAAAAATCATAATATTCGATTTAAAAGACAAAATTGAACCCAAAGAAGTGGGAAAATTTGAGCTGCGGAATTACTATAGAAAATATTTTAATAAAATGAATTGTATAAAAAAAGTTGATTCTAGTGTTTTTTTTTCTGCAGAATATTTTTTATTGAATATTTCATAAATACTGTAAATTATTTCAATTGTCGGAAATTTTGCTATTCAAGCATGAAATTGATTTTTATAAAATCTCCGATTGTTGACAAGTTTACGTTCAAAAAAACAAATTTTGTATTCAAAGCGATAGATTGTTCATGAAAAAACGTTATAATATTGGATTTAAAAGACAAAATTGAACGAAAGATGTTTGAAAATTTGAACCCCGGAATTTCTTTCGAAAATATCTCAGTAGAATTAGTTGTATAGAAAAATTAAATTCTGCAGATTTTTCTCATAGAACATTTTCTATCAAAAATTTCATAAATAATAAAAATTCTTAAGACTGTCGGAACTTTCGTTTTTCAGGCATGCAATGGATTTCTGTAAAATCTCTGATTGTTGAAAAATTTGTCGCAATTCCGAAAGACTTATGCTCCGAGCGTCAAATTATTTATAAATTGTTATTTACAAAAATGTCGTAATATCAGACAATTGCAACTATTTAACTATTCTATAAATCAAAAAACCTAGCGAATTCGATAGAAAATTCTATGCCTACTGGACTTCTATCAATTCAATTCTATTAATTTTGAAAAAAAACCGTAGAATTTCATTTTGATACAACTTTTCCTATTAAATATTTTCTATGGGAATCCCTTGACATGAATTTCCCAAGTGTTTTCCACTCTATTTTCAAGTGAACATTTCTATTGAAATACGCGCGGTTGCCGAATTTTTCAATAGAATCGGCCCTCTTCTAAGTACAAACAATAAAGATGTGAGCACCTAGTGGATTGAGTAACTCCAACTGTACAAGGCCCTTTACCACCAGAAAATTTGCAGAAGCAACTACAACAAATATGTAAACGAGATAAATAAATACCTAAAAGACTGGAACTTACGGATTGAGATAACGTAACGCAAAATAATTTAAGGCAATCTAACCAACCGCATTATAATTATGTGACTGTGTAAAGACTGTTTAAATAACCCAAGTGATGGATTGTTTAAAATAGTTCTACCCTGACGGTAAATTCAAAGATTATTAAAAACTGCAAAAATATTGCAGAAAACTCGACTAGATTCGAAATTCTAATTTTTTTCTCAATTTAATTATCGTTTTAGTTTTCCAAAGAAGAAATGTTTAAAAATCAGGATTTAACCCAGTCTCTTATGTGAAAATCAACATTTCCATTGTAATCAAAGATAAAAATCTGATTTTTTTTCATTAGATGTGAAAAAATCAAGAATTTTTTTGACACCTGATAAAAAAAATCCACCGTTTTGCAAACAAGTTTCACTATTTATTTATAGGAGGGAAATGTTTGAAAAAATATCAATATTTTGTGAAATTTAATTTAGATAATACTGACTGGGTATGAATTTTTTCAAATTTTTTCCATGCAATTTAGTTGAAAAATTAAAAAACTGAAAATATCCAAAAGTACAGCATAACCCGGCCGAAAGGTAGAGCTACTTCAAAACACTAAAAACATCCAGAAATCCAACAGAATTTTCTACCAAATTTTCTATGAATTTCTCTGATTTTCTATGAATTTTTTTCGTACGTGTCTTTATCAAAAATTAAAAGAAGTATTTAAGTAGTAATTGGACCGTATTATTTCCGGATTAAAAAAAATTTCTCGTTTTTTAAAGCTGAAAAGATCAAATTCAACGAAATTTTTCCGTAATGTAGGGCCAAAAGATATTTATTGGAAGTTCTGACGCCAACTCCAACCGTTGGGAAGTATTTCAGCGAGAAAACTAGCCTTCAACAATAAATGACGACGAAGATAAAAAATAAATGAGTAAAAACCTTCAAGTTTCCTTCCTCTGATTGACTTGAAATCACTCTCAGGCATTGCGAGCGCAGCATGGAGAAACCCTACCAGGGCAAGATAGAGGATCGATCTCATGACGAACAAGCAATTGTCGCTAGAATGCCCAACGCGATCGCCAGTTAACTACTTGCAGTGGAATAATCACAACCAGGTGGTCTCCTCCGCTGATTAAATAGCGGCTTCCACCCCCATCGGCCCGCTCATTATCTCCCAATCGAAATCCGTCTTCCGAATGATCGCGATAACATTGTGTGATTTTTTTTCTCAAAATATTTTTTCCCGTCTGTATTGTATCAATCAATCTCTTTTAAATATAATAAAAATTACGACTTTTTCCTTATTCCGGTTACAAAGATCGGAAAGGTGATATATTCAATAACAGTCTTTCGTCGGAGATATGACAGTGACACAATGATTATTAAATATAATCATTTCAATAGCGAAGCGGTAAAAGGGTTCAAGGCGATTTAGAGTATTAGTCAGTTTTCAATGAATATCTTGGAATCTACGGCAGATACCAGAATTTTTGTTATAACCTTTTTTGTAGAGCGAATTGAGAGCTACCAAAAAGGTAATTACGAAAATTTCGCTATCTCCCTTAGATTCGGAGATATTCCTCAAAAACTCAGCTGCGAGAATGATATGAAACTCATGTGCATGAATTTGCAAATAAACACGTGAGAAAAAACAACCAAACAACTTATGAATATAAATCTTTTTATTCTCTTAATTTCTCTACATACAAAAAACACGAAGAATTGGCTACTTGCTTTGGACTATACGGTATACACTGCTCAGTATTTCTCTATTTTCTTTTTCATCATAAAAAACATCATAGACTACGACGAGGCTGTGATTACCTGCCGGGCTGCGCTCCAGATGACAGGGCTGGGGCACACGAGTCTCACCCATTCATCCAGATCACCCCCATTACTCCGTTAATCAACAATTTCCTCCGAACATTGAGATAAAAAATGCGACATGATAATAAACACAGATGAACGAGAAGAAACATTGATTTAGTCGAGAAAGGACATTCGCACTATTAATCTGCCATCTACATAATATTTACAATTTTCATTAATCCTAGCTTCTTTCTCAGAGTAAAATTACAGCCAGGGCTTTGTATAAGATACCTTAGGGACAGTAGTGGAGTGGAATTTCGGGAGTTCATATACACCCTTTACGCGCGCTTATAGAGAGAAGAAAAATAGGGGTCAGCGGTTTGAAATAAGAGACCTCGCTCGTTGCGCCCGAATTCTATGGAATTTTCATTTTTACTGAATGGATATTGATAACTAATCAATTTATATGAGTTTAATGTTTTGAATTCATATAGCCCGCGTTCCCTTTTCTCTCTCAACATAACCCCGCGTGATAGAATGGCAGCTGATGTTGAGTGGGGATGTGAGTGACAAAAATGACTGGTCAAATGACGGTCAATTACCGCGATCATGACGGGTAATTACCATGTCCATAAATCTGACGATTCGGTCAGGAATTCGGAAAATGACCGATTCAATTCTGACGGTCAATTCTCATCTATATAGCTGACACACAGAAATTTTTATTCGGTTACTCGGTGTCGGCAAGGTTGCTGGCGGTCATAGGGACCATACGTCGTCACTAGGGGTCTATGCGATACTAGATAACTAAATTCGTTCAGCAAGCAATTCAGGTGAAGAACTGAGCGAGCTAGATGAGGGAGCCGGTGGCAATTATGAGAATTAAGGAGAGAAGGACTGAAGACGAGCCTCATCCAGCATCCTCCTAATTTAATATGAAGTTTTTGATCAAAAACATAATATATACAGAGATATGTATTTAATTAATTTTGTTGACGTTTATTAAGTTCATGAGTTTATCATGAGTGATCTCGAGTATCGAATTTATGATTGTTTTGTAATTCGTTCCAATAAACATTAACTTTAAATTATGAAATGCGATTCAATTCCTAACTAATGAAATAAAATAACCAAAAATCTGACCGAAAAAATTACCAAAAAGAAAATTACCGTCAATTTGCATTTATATAAAGGAATTTTGGTCATTTTCTCAAATTTTTGACGCTGGTTGTTCATGACGATCATTTTGCATGGGGAATTATCTCGGTGTCAGAAAATGGTCAGAAAACGGTCAATTTTGCCTGACCTGACCGAATTGAAAAATGACGGTCATTTCACATCCCTAATGTTGAGGGATTGTTGGGGGACTTGAAAATAATCACTTCTGGACAGCTGAAGTGCAAATTATTGAAAGTACGTAAATTAATTGAATTTTAATTAGGCTTTATTCTATTAAGATTATTCTGCGTCATCATTTTAATAATTATAGCGTCGAAGAAAAGAGGTGACCCTTGGGATCGTTTAACACTTCTGATTACTTCACTTGACTCTCACGTTTGAACTCTTGACCCTTAAGGTCATTTGACCCTTATGATCACTTTGTTCGTCCCTCCCGTTTGACCCTCAACTCCGTTTGATCCTTATAATCACTCTTTTCCCGTTGAAAAATGATCGAGGCCACAGGTATCTTATAAGAAGTCCACGGAACTAAACATTCGGGAGGCGATAAAAATGCCAAGAGTGGGGGTAGGCCTCGAGCGCGCGGAGCTCGAGGTATCTTATATAAAGCCTCGACTGTACCTATAATTTGAAGACTATTTATACGTTGAAATAACACCTAGCATTCGATCTTTTATTATTTCGTTTCATCAATGTCTTTTTGCTATTCAACACGTCTTCGGATTATTGGGGTAGGAATTATTTAATAATTATGTAACGAAAAAAACGCGTCGAGTTATACACTGGGTTGTAGATGCTATGCCGCGAGCCTGCTCATCGGCCGAAATACTGCACGGTGCTCTGATACATTCGGGAAATTAGAAAACAAGAGTTAAATAATATTAAAATAGTGGTAAAATTCATCAGCTGGGTGGAGCAAAGACATGAGATCTTTTCACTGCAAAAGACGAAGATGAAATACGAATTGTGGATGAAGAATATTCGATACTTTTTTTTATTTTGAAAAATATTTGGAAATCAACGGACATAATCAGTTGATTTAAATCTCTATCTAAATTTCTAATCTCGAAGTTGAAGTTTTTTTCATCATTATTTATGGAAATAAAAATACAGATATCGAGTATTCTTCAATCCATTTTTATATTTTGTGCAAAGTCATTTGTCTCTCTCATAAAACGATAAATAGCATTGCAGTTTTGATTTCATTGTTTATGTGAAACAATTTTGTAGCTGAATCTGTAACATAAGCTCTCCATCTAGCTGTTGAATTTTTTTATACAAAAAAATGTTTGTCTTCGAGGCCTTCCTCATCGATTGTCCAACGATTTCATCAATGAAATCATTGCATTAATGATCGCTCTTGACAGAGGATTATCCGGAAACCCTGGATTATTAAAATATTAATTGATTTCTGATTACGAAAAGTTCTGGCAAAATCCCTAATTTTAAAAATATGTCTGCGTTCTCTGCGAATATTTTTCCAACTTCGAATCCTAGTTTTTTTGTCTGTGAACAATGGAACTAAATTCGTCAAAAATATTTTTCGTTTTCCATTCGTCGTTCTTTCGGCCCGAAGAGCTCATTCACCGTTAATGCGTATAAAACACGAAGCGATGACTAGTAAAAAAATAACTCCGAAGCACGCATGCCGGTATTTTCTCCATTCACATACAGCAATCGTAGTATAAACATTAAAATTATTAAATTAAAACATGCTTCCGAGATTTTCATCCTCACTTATGTACAAAAATTAATGAGAAAAAAATACGGATGTTGGGTTTCAAAGGAGATGCCGTCGTGTGTTGGTCATGAGGGCTGTTGAGTCCCATACGGTGCGACATCTCGTGGACTTCCTCCAGTGGGGCAGTTGGATACCGAGTCTCTGGCATTCGTGGACGTATGCTACGAAGGATTCGCAGTAGCAGTCGTTATTTGGACACTCGCACATGTCTTGGAGGCATGATTTGTAGTACATGGTTGGATTGACTTTCTTGTGACAGGGGTCGAATATTTGAGATCGCAATCGATTGCATAATCTGGAAAAAGATCATTCCCTTTTATAAAGTGACTCATAATATTAAGACGTCACGAATTGATTATTACTAGTTAAGGAACTTCTGCAGTAAGTATATGGGAGTAGAAGGAAATGGACTACAGAGCTGAAATTTTGAGAATATATTCCTTGAGTGATTACAAATATCCTTCCGAAATCTCAAAACGCTGAACCACGTAGATTGTTGAGAAGAAAATATGAAAAATGTGTCATTAACACAGTCTTACGGCACCACTTTTTCAAAAATTACAAAAAAATAATCGACAATGGAATAAAAATCCAAACGCTTCACGAATAGAACCGTATATATTTCAGGAACATATCCCGACAATTTCATTAGCCGTCACCACAGGGATTATTTGTAATTATTGAAAATGTATGGCATAGTTTCGGATTTTAGTTACGTTAGAGTAAACTGGTGGCTGAACATGGCAACGTTGAGGGAAGTTAGAGTGCGCGCGACGGAGGCCATCGTGTGAACTCAGCCAAAGCATATACTACAGATTCTGTAGTACAGTATTGGATTTTATCGGGCCACAAGAATACCAACTGCGACGAACAAAAATGCGTGGTTGTCAATTCTCTCGTGAAAATTTTTATTTGTTAAAAAATTCGGATAAATAATATTTTGGGACAAAAATCATTTGGAATTGGCTAATCATGAATAATAAGTGTAAAGAAACCTAAACGACGAATTTTCAATACACCCGTGAACTTTTCTTCATTTCGGAATCTTTGATATTTTCCCCCATTCCATAGTCCCAAAATTTACTGCGGAAGTTCCTTAACCCACACAACAACATCCAGTGATGGCCAAAAATATTAGATGTTGACAATGTTAAAACGGATTATCTCGTTATATTGTTTAAAGTTGTACTATATTTAACAAATTTAAAATAGTATAAAATTTAATAACTAAATTTTTTCGATTGATGGTGAATAAAATATCTGATACTATTGAAATGTAATTTTTAGTTAACAAGCTAATTCTAAATTTAGATACTTGATTTTCAATTATCCAAATAATCATCAATCTTCTTACCTAAATTATTGTTTAATAGATTATTTCAAAATTTGAATGTACAAATTGATGGTTAATTTAATATTTAAAATTTTCAAGATTTGTGTTAAAAATTGACAACTTCACAATTTAACGGTAATTATGATTGATGAATATGACTATTACCGATAATATCCAAATATTTATGTAAAAAACTCGATCAGCCCGCGCGCTCTGCGCGTATTCTCTACATTACGCGCCTCAGAAATTGATAGGACCGGTGAGACCCTAGAGACTTTCGAAAGTCTCAATGTGAGATCATAAGTCTCAAAATACAGCTTGTTGAATGATTCATTCGTTCCGAAAGTCGAGTCAAACAAGGCTCTTCAAATATGCATTCGTAAACTATTAACGAATGAACATGTGGTGAGACCCAATAAACCGTAGCCTCCAACCAAATCCATTTGTTAACAAAAACCAATCCATTCTATCAGTGTGCGGGAATTATTCACAAACTTCATTTTAAGAACGAATATTATCATTAACTCTACTATTCACCGTATGATATTAACCGTAAAGTCTCATTGATTGGAATTTCGTTCACCAATTTAATCCTTGTTCGAAAAAAAAACACCTTAATAAAATCAATTCTCTCCATCAATCTACGCTACCACGAAACTCCATTTCAAATTCAACATCATGATTGATATTCACCTGTGATCTTTCTTCCCCCTGCACCGTCTCTCCCGATCAACGATAATCGGTTTGATCCTGGTGCATGTTTTCTTCGACCCAACCGCCCAACTCTGCCCAAAGGGATAAGGATCCTGCAGGAGTCGTCCCCTCCTCGTCGTGAAGTCATCCTTCGGCAGGGAATTGAAATTACCACAGAGTCCACACAGCCGTCCTCGATAGGACGTCGGTGCTGACACTTCGATGAAACTAATGCCATCCCACAGCACTTTAATGCCAATTTGCGTTGTGACGAGGATACTGTCAGCGGTTCGATTGATCTCAACTCTGTTTGGCACTCGATAAGGCACTTCAATCTTCATTCCATTCACTTTTACCCTCATTTTCTGACCAAGATTGACTTTCAGATCACCCACCTGTTTCAACAATAGAAATAAACAAAGGATCGTGAAATTATATTGTCCATGCTGTGTGGTTTTTTATTTAACGGGGACAGCTTGAAAATATACGATATTCATTTGCTATTCAATGGGCTTAGCTAACCTTGAGGGCAATTGTCTTGGTCCATGCCGATGACCTCGTTGATCTGGCGTCATTTGTCACTCTTATACTGAATGTGTGACCCAAACAATCGCTCACGAGTTGATACTTGCAGGCACCTTTGAAACTGAAGAATTTACCGTCAAAGGTTCGGTAATGGGGATCACCAAACACCGTGCAAACTCCATCGCCTAGGATAATTATTTATTTCTTAATATGTAAATGTCGGATTTATTTATTGAGGGAGACTCAATAGTCTTTAATTACTTCTTAAATCACAAGCGGACTGTCTACATGTAATTTAACAGTAGTAAATGAATTCAATCGATTACAGTTTCATCATGTGACAAGCGATTCATAACATGTGGCGTCTTTATTGAGAAGAAGAAATAGAGGTAATTGGTGAATATAACTACTCCAAAGAATTTTTCGAGGAAATTGAATTATTTCGTCATTTAACAAGAATTAGAATTGAAATCAACAAGAAAATTGGGTCGGACTCAATTAAGTAAATAACTTGAAGGGGGTGACCGGACCCATAATTGTAGCCTTTGTAGCCATTGGTTAACCCTTAAGTGGTCGCATCGTGAGGGAATCCCCGCCAAATCATACGCAACGTATAGGGCGCTACTGTAGAGCGAGTGAAGTGCTACACGCAGAGAAATTTTTGATAAAAATTATCCTACCGTTCTGTAAAAGTGAATCATGAGTCATCGTTTCCTGATTTATATCCCGAAATTTAGTAAAAATTAATATATGATGATCAAATTTTATTCTACGTTAGAGAAATTTTATCCTGACGCATAATAAATTTTACCCTTCCAGTCCAATAATTTTTATGCAGATAACAACGAAAATTCTAGAACGGTTGGTAAATTTTACCCTACCGGTACAGTCATTTTTACCCCACCGGGACAAAATTCTACCTACCGGTACAGAATTTCTCTAACGTAGAATAAAATTTGATCATCATATATTAATTTTTACTAAATTTCGGGATAGAAATGAGAAAACGATGACTCATGATACACTTTTATAGGACGGTAGGATAATTTTTATCAAAAATTTCTCTCCGTGTAGAAAAGCGCAACCACTTGCGGGTTAAATTCATTTATAGCAACCAGTTTCCGACACAATATACGTCGAAATACGTCAAGATTAATATAAAAACTGTAATATTTGTCTACCAGTAGCCCTAAAAAATTGGAGTTGCCATGTTATCTAATTATCGTAATTAGAGTATATAACTGCTCCAAAGAATTTTTCGAGGAAACTGAAGTATTTCGTCACTTAACAACAAAAGAAATTGAAATCAACAAGAAAAATTGAGTTGGACTCAATAAATAAGAAGTAACTTGACAGGGCGACTGGATCAAATTATGACCTTTGTGGGGTTGATATCAGCTGCGTCCCCGTCGCAAACCCTGGGAAATGCTAAGGGCTGGTGAGGCTTGATACTTTAAGAATAAGTGCTTCACTACACGTTGAATTTATCATCCAAAAAAAATTACTTCTCTCCAGTACAAACCGGTACTTGGAGGAAGTTCACTTTTGAAAAGTTCTAAAAATAGTCATCTCAAGTTCATTTTGTGTCCTTGGGTGAAGTACCACATCTGCCGATCGACTAGAAATGGTACTGGGAAGAAGTAGTATCACTACTTACTGGCAGTACTTTTAGTACTTTTCACAAGTACCAAAGCTACTAGTGAAAAGTAATTTTTCAACTTCTCTCAAGTACTTTTAGGACTTAATTTCAGTACTTCCAATTGATTACTTTATTGAAAAAAGTGAATATTATTACTGAATAGAATGGGCTTTCTTACGCATATTTGTAAATGGAAATGTTCAGCAGAAGATATTTTGTAGGAAAAAATCAATAGATTGCGATTTTTATGGATGCTTTCGAGAATTATTGGTGTGCTTTCCAATCTACAAAATTTCAATTTTGTTGAGATTTTTATGTTTGATGTTGTTATCAACATTTAGAAGTCTTCAAAAAATCATTTTCAATTTCTTTTCAATTTTATTACTCACAAAACAGAAATTATTTGGATTTTTGAACTTTTGACGAAATTGGATTTTTAGAAGAGGTAGAAAAACATTGTGGAGTTCTTATACTCAACTTATATTGAGTTTATTCGGTACTTTTGAAAAGAACCAGCCACGTACTCATTACAAGTAATTTTTTTACTTGTCCTAAGTAACAAAATACTTGTGACAAGTACTGAGCAACATCTCACCAGTACACAAGTACTTGACGCATGATACTAACATCAAGTTGTTTTGTAACTTCGAGGAAGTACACAAATGTGCCTTTTCCCCAGAAACCCCTTGGTACCGGGTACAAGTACTTTTTCTATTGATCAAAAGTAATTTTTTTTGAGTGATATATGAACACCTCATAAATGGAATTTTAAAAAATGCTTTTAGAAGGAAACGCGTAGAATGGGAGGTCTCGTACATCTACATGAGCATCCATGTAACTGTGATGGTTCAACGAGATTGAATTCATTTATAGCAACCAGATACCGACCTTAAATTAAGTCGATATCCTTCAAGCCTAACATATAAACCGTAATATTTATCTATCAGTAAATTGGAAAAATTGGAGTTGTTTTTTAGCCAATTACCGAAATAGACTAGAGAATTTCAAAGAACTTACTTTCAACACAACGCGGACAACACTGTCCCTCAGGATGTTCGAGCCTCGAATTTGGTGGACAGGGAATGTTGAGTGGTGGACACATTGGCATGGCGCATCGCACTTTACCTTGCATGCAGGCGCATGCCTTGCAGGGATCAAGCTTCCAAGATTCGCCATCCTGCCTAGGAGAAATTAGAACGTTTAAACCAACTACCAAAAGCCATGAACTCAAATCGAAGTCACGATCGCTTAGATTCGTGATAGGTCGTTGCAGTATCGAAGTCATGAGAAGAGTGGTGAAGTGGAGAATCATTCACGTTTATCATTATAAAGCTAATTCTACGTTTTCATCGTTGCTTAATTATCTGGTCTACGAAATGATTGACCAAAATATGACATTACGTTTTTGGTTTCTATCGCAATCCCAAAATTACTTAGGTAGACAGACAATTTCTGAGAAGATTATTATATCGCAAGAATAAGTGTCACAAGATGAGTTGATAAAAGGGTTGACGTAGTTTATTAACTAATGATGGAAGGAAGAATATAAGAAAGACGCGTTTTGATTTAGATCTTCTGAGAGAAGACAGTCGTTACTAAGGGACTTCTTGGGATGCTTCAGACGATAGACGAAAACCTTCAACTATCGTTAACGATCGTTGCAGCATAGAAGTTACGAAGAAAGTGGTGAAGATGGAGAATCATTTACGTTCATCATTACGAAGTTGATTCTACCTTTTTCATCGTTGTTTAGATTATCCGTTAATTATTTGATCTGCGAAATGATTGACCAAAATGTGACATTACGTTTTTGGTTTCGATCGCAATCCCAAGATTACTTAGATGGACAGCCAATTTCTGAGAAGATTATTATATCGCAAGAATAAGTGTCACAAGATGAGTTGATAAAATCATTGGGATAGTTTGGTAATTAATGACTGAAGGGTGAATACAAGAAAGATGCGTTTTGATTGAGATTTTCTGTGAGAAGATAGTCGTTACTAAGGGACTTCTTGATAAGCTTCAGACGGTAGACGAAATATCTTCAACTATCGTTAACTGTCGTTGCAGTATTGAACTTATGAAGAGAGTGCTGAAGGTGGAGAGTCATTTGCATTTATCTTACGAAGTTGATTATAAGTTTTCATCGTTGCTTAGATTATCTGTTAATTATCTGATCTGCGAAATGAGTGACGAAATGTGACATTAAGTTTTTGGTTTAGATCGTAATCCCAAGATTACTCAGGCGGACAACCAATTTCTGAGAAGATTATTATATCTGGGGAACAAGTGTCACAAAATGAGTTGATAAAATCATCGGAATATTTTAGTAATTAATAGCTGAAGAATGAATACAAGACACATGCGTTTTGATTGAGATCTTCTGTGAGAAGACAGCCATTACTGAGGGACTTCTTGACAAGCTTCAGACGATAGACGAAATACCTTCAATTATCGTTAACGACGTGGTTTATGAATTAATGAATGAAGGCAGAATACAACAAAGATGCATTTAACTTGAGATCTTTTGCTAGAAGACAGTTGTTACCAAGAAACTTCTTGGCTGAAAAGGTACGTAAAGATACTCGCCCCGTAAGTTCTTCCGCCGTAAGTACACGATGCCCGACTCTCCTCAATAAGTGGACACTGGGGACAACATCGTCCTGGTAATGTCGTCTGATAGTCACTCGTGCACTCGAGAACAGGACACGTTTCCTTCACACAGGAGATCGCTGAATTCATGCAGGAACACTTTGTACAGTGGTCCACGTAGAACTGCGAGCCAGAGTTGTAGACAGCTGTTCCCAGCATACAGGCGCCCTTCGGTGGTGAGAAGAATTCTCTATTCTTTCCTGACATTAGAACAAAGATTGTACCTTTCAGCGCAGTATTAACTTGAAATTATTTATTCCTGTTTCCCTTGAGAACATTTGTTCGTGCTGCCCGATAGGAAATATGTCCCAAGGATGAGACAAATTTGACGTAAACTTTGAGGGTGCAGGTGGCATAGAAGTTATGATCATCTAATAATATGTATGTTCGATGCAATAAAAATAAAACAGGAAACTTTCATGTTCCACAGACAGCATTACATACCTTTGCAATGAGGGCAACACTCTCCAGGCTCATGCACAATACTCGAGACGGGACAGTGAAGCACGGGGCAAGCGTGTTTGGCGCAAGTGAGACGTCCGGAATTACACCTGCATGTCACGCAGGGATCTTCAGTCGTTGTGACAGATCTGTCTGCTGTGACTTTCTGTCCATTCACGTAACATCCGACACATACCGGACAACACTGGCCCGGTGGTGCGGGAATAGGATTCGAGCATGGGGTATAACACCTCAACTTTGATTCGGTTATCACTCCAGCTCTGCAGGTGAGTATTCTACAGGGATCGTTGGGGTCCGTCCACTCAGTTCCTGATGCATGATCGATGCCGTTTCGAATGCACCCTAGACAGTCAACGCACTATATGAAATGTTAAGGTAAAATTATATAGAATAATATATTGCCCGGTGGCTTGCCGCAGTGGGTAAGTTCGTTGCCTCACATGCGAAAGGTTCCGAGTTCAAATCCCGGCCGGGTAGAATGGTGCGATCTCAACCATTTAAAGTCTTGATCATCATCGGAGTATACCCTAACTGGGTCGAAGCGATGTAAAATAACGATAAAAAAAAAGAATAATATATTTTCTTTTTGCGCTGCAACGATTGAAGCCCTCGGATTCGATGCGAAAAAGGGCAAAGGTTGGGGCAGTCAATTCATTGATCTAATCTTATAATTTTTCGTTCCTACTAGGGGGCTACGCCCCCTGCTCGCTCCGCTCGCCAACCCCTATATGCCCCCTACAATCCCTATTCTGATACTTGTGACCCTTAAGGTAACCCTCGTGACCCTCATTTTACTCGTCGAAGCCCTTCATCTGATCAATATGAACCTCATTCTGTCCCTTGTGAGCCTTAATCTGACTCTCGTGACCTTTATTCGGACCCTCATGAGCCTTCTAATCTCTAATCTGTCCCCTATGACCCATAATTTGACCCTCGTGATCCTTATTCTGATGTTTATGACGCTTATTCTGACCTTTGTGACCCTGAATCTAATCCTCGTGACCCTCATTATACCCCTCGTAGCCCTTAATCGGATCAATATGACCCTTATTCTGTCCCTTGTGACCCTCAATGTGACCCTTGTAACCCTTGTTCTGACCCTCATCACCCTGAATCTGGCCCCTATGATATTTAATGTGATCCTCGTGATCCTTATTCTGACGCTCGTGCCCCTTATTCGGAACCTCATGACTCTGCAAATTTGGTAGTCGAAATTAAGACTCTGGAATTCAGGGTCAGAAATGAGAGTTCAGAAAGTAAGGGCCACAAACGTTAAAATAAGGTTCACGAGGGTTATAGTGAGGGTCAGATTAAGCGTCAGAATCAGGGACCAAATAAGGGTCATGGGGGTCATATGGGGGTTGACGAGTGGAGCGAGCAGGGGACGTAGCCCCCTATTATAAAATAAGCTAAACTAAAATGTAAATATAATAGTACATTAGAGTACAAGGGCACAAATTTCGTTTTCGACGAATGTGAAGTTTACAGGCCGAGCCGAAGGCGAGGTCTGTATTCACATTCGTTGAAAACTATTTTATGCCACATCGTGCAGAAGTCGAGTTTGAAGCACGCTGCGCGAAGCGCAGCGCAGCGTGCGATAAACTCGACTTATTGCACGGCGTGCCATAAAATAAGATAAAGTATAATATAAAGTAAGATGAAATATGCAACAAAATAAAATCTAATATAATGCAACACGTCCATTGAAAACTTTACTGAAACGAACCGATAAAAAATTGAATAAAATTTTTTGTTCGTTCAGTCATCAATTTCCGGTTGTAATAAATGAACAGCTCGAATCAGATAAAAATCGACTAATTAATTAATCGAAATTTATTACCACCGATGGGAATACCCGATAGAACGTAACAATGTTACGCTGTCACGTGGGTGACAGACGCCAGTGCGGATAAACCCCAAACGATAGACAATAATCGATGGCTCGCAGAATGGGAAATCGATTGAAAAATCAAAATGAAGCAACGGCCACAGCGTGAAACCGTTTTCACATGGTGGTTGGGACCCATTCACGTCCCATAAATCTCTCCACCGCAATTAACATAATTAATAGTCAACGATAAGCGGTCGCCATAGAGTCGAGAGAGACTGAAACATCTGTCCGCGGCGAAATAAACAATCGCGTTTTGCATTCACGCGGTTTATCGTTGATTTTTTTTAGTGTCATTTTTTTTTTCTTCATTCGATAGATGTTTTTCAGTGCACTCCGAGCTTTGGTGAGAGTGAGACAGTTAATTGTGGGGAATATGGGTGGAGGGGATAACAACAGTGACGGCCTTTGTGCTCGGGAGTGAACAATGATCGAGGGAATTCTCACGGAATTGTGTGTGTGCAATAGCTCCATCGATTGCTTAAATAATTGAAATCAATTAAAAATGAATTCTGCGGTTTTCGGACATTCTGCGATGGTTTTCATGTCAGTAGTCGCATAGAAAAGCCTATCTTTCTAGATAACAATGCAATATAACGTAAATTGTAGTTCATGACACTTGTGAAAGTGCATTGATAATTTATAAATTAAACTTAACTAATTGAAACTCTGCTATTGTATATTATTTATCGTTTTATATTATTTTGTTAAATTGAATTATATTATATTTCTTCTTCAATCAATTGTGTTTGATTTTTTGTGAAAATCCGTGAATAAATCAAATGAAAGCGTGATGCTATATTATATTGAAACTCCAATAAAATCTCAGGAATTCTGATTTTTAAAAAATACAAAATATTTTTAAATATTCTATAAATGAAAACGATAATTATTCCTATCGCTTTCGTCGTTAAACTCGGTCAATTAATTCAGATCATTTTTGTAGTTATCGTGGGTCAACCGACTCACTCAGGAAAATTTACGACTAATATGAAATGATTGTTTATTTATTATTAATTTGGAAGGGATTGAAAGATTTATTCTTGGTTTTGTGATTAATAGCTTGGTTTAATTCAAGACTTAAATAAGTTTCAATTGGATGTATTATTTGAATTTGGTTTGAATTTGTTATTATTCGTTAGTTGTTTTAAATATAATTTGAGGCATTATTTGGCGAAAAGAACGAGGATACTTGTAATTTTAAGTTTGGATTTGCAGTGAAAACAAGCGCGATGAATTGATTTAGTAACAATAATAGTTTGGAATTCAATGACACGGAATAAATGTTTGATATAAATTTGAGTTGAATTGACGTTGATTCACTTGAGTATTTACCGAGACCGAGCAATTAATTTAAATTTTCGATAGATTGAATGTTTTGATAGTTTTCCCTTTGCGTATGGCTACGACAGCCGTCAGGTAGTAAAACCCGGGTACAAGGGTCTCATTGCAGGAGCATTTTCAAGTTTTCTGTTTTTAGCTGTAGTTTCCCTGAACAGAAGGATATACTAGAGTTTTTCTCTGGCGCTGGAGGCGGTAAATACTCAAATGTAACATTTTGTGTTGATATTTGGTAGCTTTAGAACAACAGATCCATGATATTTGTTGGAAATTGACAATTTGGAACTTTTCGGGAATACTTTCAAGATAATGAATTCAATATTCTATTCTATGATGAAACAATTACCTACATTTGCAATTAACATCAGGGCATACCTTTGCATCGATCACAGCATTCATCATCCCTCGCCTTCAGAAGGGTGTAACATCCCTCAATACTCGGACACTGCTGCTGCAAACACTCCACAAACCCATTCTGAAAATTGCAAAAAAAAATGAACATACGTTATTTTCTGGTGTAAAAACAGAAATAAATTTTTTTTCCTTCATACACAGCGAATTTATTCTCTAATTCGCTCCGTCTTTTTCATATCACCCATAGAATATGTTTATTCATCCGCACCGCGGGACCGAATTTATGAGATATACACATTTTCCCCTTCGAATCGTGTCTATGGTGGAAAAAAATAGTAGACCCAGAAGTTCGAGTTGAAAAAATAAACATCTCGAGGTCGAGGCGCGTATAAATATTCCTCAGCGTTGGGTAACGAGTAAAATATTCCCTCCATAATATATCATCACTCCTTTTATTCTATTTAATCTCAATGCCCTCTGCGCATCCCAGTTTGTAGAGCACCTCGATGAACTTACTTCCTCCATAATAGTCGAGTCACTTTTCTTATTCTCTTTCTCAAGCTGCATTAACCACATTTTCGCGGTTTTTTCCCCCGCCAGGTCTAGTCTCGATGTTTATGAGGGAAATAAGACGACTGAATTATAGCGGGTATTATCCGGAATTTACTTCAGCGTTGTCCGTGTTAATTCGCTTTGATTAATTGGAGGTGAGTCGCTAAGTGATGTTTGAATTAGTTGGGGCGATTGTTTTGTTGAGGTCTTGAGTGACTAGACAGGACGCGCGCTGATCTATCACCTCATGTATTTGTGAGGAGCTTCCCTTTCCTCATTCAAATGTCAAATGTATCGGATTTCGTGCACGGAGAGATAGGACAGGTGGATTCCAGGGGTAAAATTGCAACTATTCGGAGTGTCGGGAAAATTTTTTAGTCATGATTACAATAATATTAAAATTCACTCATTACTAGTTTTGTATTTCAAGAAAATTGATTAGGTACACTGAGAGAAAAATAAACACGTTGTCAAACAAGTGTTGTTTGGACTAACAAAATCGCTAGTTGCAAATTGCCAAAAAAGAATTTGTTTGGTTGGAATTTGAAAGTCTCAAACATGAATAATTGTTCTGCTTTCAACAGCAACGAAATATTTGGCTCAAGAGGCGGATAATTCACACCAGACGGTGCCTTTCAGGATGAAAATATCTCATATAGAGGAAAATTTATCAGTAGTAAATATCACTAGTGCTTCAAAATTGTCGTATATTTTCCGATAGCTTCGTTGCCTAGGAACGATTGTGTTAAATTTTACAGGTTTAAAATCCCGAGTGCGAAGCATGAGGGATTTTTCTGCAACCCACTTTTTTGTTTATCTGTCACACAGAATATTAAACGTGAAGTGCGTTGAAAGATGAGAAACATTTGAAAAGCTACTAGTGAATTTTCGTTGGAAATTTTTTAGAAATTTCCGAAGTAAAACTGTTTGACAGCCTCAAATACTGCGCTCTGATTGGCTGCGATCCGAGTGAGAAAAATAATCAATAAATATTTTATCCCTAAGTTACAAGATTTCTATCATATCATTATTACTGTTTCATTTAAGAGTTCATTTCTTGTCTGTGATTATTAGACAGTCGAAAAGAAAAACTACTATCCCTTGTTTCGCATAAAACAAATATTTTTCGGGAGCAAAATACGTATGGGAGTATCGAATAACGAAGGAGTAGTGCTAGAATAGTATATTACGTGCTAAGGCGGAGAAGTGCTGAATTCAACGCTGGTGGAGTACAGGCGCACGAGGCACGTGAGTCGGAGANGTGTACAGAGAATGAAATTTTTTTTGAAATACTAAATCTATTTTTGCGACAATATTTTTTTATTCCGGCGCACTCTCTGCATGTTTGACACAAAAAAATCCTATTTTTGATCATTTTCAAAAAACCATTTTCTTGGCACAAGTAAGACTTGTTTGAGAAGAGTGTATGAGATGTCAATTAGGGAGGTTATGGCAACCTGAGTATAGAGACGCCACCGCAAGGTGTCGCAGTAGCGAAATACAAACGCCAACGACTCTCCATCTGTATCTCTACATCTAGAAGAAAAGGCATAACTGGGGGAATGACTCAATGAGGTCTATCTTGGAATTCCAATTTAAATGGATCTACCCACACGGAAAAATTAATATTTTGAAAAATATATTGAAAAATATCTTAAATTAGCCCAATGTATATTTAAAATATATATAAAATATATGCAATTGGTTATATATTTTTAACCGTGTTATATATATTTTTTATATATTGTTGAGGGGGGTACACTGTTAAAAATTTTCTCCTGAATTTTCCGTGCCAAAATCAGGAAATTTTTATCGTTGTCAAATTCCCTTGAAATTTCAGGAAACCTTGTCATTGAAAAATCAAATATTCCATTGATTTTCTGTTCAAACGATCTGGGATTCAATAAAAAACTTGATTTTTCAATTATTCTCTGAGAATTCTGAAAAATCAGGAAAATTCAGGCAAAAATTGAAAATTCATGTCATTTTGTTTGCGAATCAAGTTGTAAAATTTCTATTTCACTCCCGCTAAAAACTCATGAATTTCCGTGAATTCTACTTAAAACTTGGAATTTTATAACCATTTCTTCCTTAAATTCTATTCAATGACACTCTAATGAAATTTACTATAAGAACTTCTTTACTATAATATCTTATCGTTACTATAATATATTTGATAAGGTATTCAATTCCTTCCGCATGAAAACACTACACGGAAAAAAAGTTGGATAAAAATTACCTAGAAAATCGTGGCAAATTTTACTGTGGATAGTCATATCTATAAATCATAATTACTGTTAAATTCTGACCCCATCATTTAGTTAATATTACTCTCAATTTTTTAAATATTTTATTAACCAATAATTTAGGTAGTAAGATTGCCAATTATTCGATCAATCCATAATCCTCCTCAAGAAATTGGAATTATTTACTGAATGAAAAATTTTCAATTTCATATTATCAAATATTTAATTCATCATTAATTTGAAATTTTAAGTTAACAATATCAAACTATTTTTAAATTTTGGTAAATACATTTAAACCTTTATCAAGCTAAGTCACATATCCTTTTAATATCGATGAAATTTAATATTGATAGCTATCCCGGCTGTAAGAAAGATAATCGTGGAGCGAAATGTAATTCAATGAAAAAAAACCTGTTTGTGGAGGATATTTTACGATTCGATCGACAAAAAAATCATGCTCCGTTACAGAAAAATTTAATAAGTTAACTAATGATGAATAATTTCCTTCTACAGTGTTCACCATACAACTTAACATTTTATATTAATTAATGTTCAGGTGAAATATTTTTTTTCTCAGTGCATGTTGAAATTTCCCTCTTTTATAGATGACTTCGAAATTTAATGTGCATATTCATTGAAAGTAAAAGCAATTTCAATTTTCATTAAAAAAATTGTCATTTCAAAATGTATGGGGGTTGGTCTTGGAATGTTACATTGTTCTTCGCACTTCATCACTTCTTTTTGCATTCTTTCAAGTCTAATGCTCAAGTCAAATTTACATTTCCTTCAATGGGCTGTTCTCTATTCATGATTTGCTCGCGGTTTTGTCAACGATTGCCACTTGTTGCATGACATTTTTGTTTCATTAGAGACATTTTTCAATTACCGTAGCCGCACGAATGCGAAAATTCTCAGAAATTAATTACAAACAGTCATTTGCACTCGAATTTTGGATAGCATCTGACGAATCAATTGAATAAGTCAAGTAATGATGGATAATTCCTTTCTGCAGTGTTCACAATACAAATTAACGAAAAAACTCTAGATAACTACACCGAAATCCTACGTGAACAGTTCAGCGACGAAAAAAACCGCGGTGTTGACCACCGGAGGAATTCGTAATCATCTTCTCGAAGGGAATGAGACAAAGAAAGAGAGGAGGAAACGTTTCTGCAGTCGTCGGGATGATTTCTTGCTCGTCAAAGCCCCTTCGTTAATTATCGACTCGCGCCCAAGAGGCAAGAAGAGTCGACGGAGACGATGCGGAGAGTCGAGGGCATCACACTTTTTTTTCGATATTTTTCTGCTGAGCGTGCGGGACGGAGGGGAAAATTGAGAAAATGGGTGCACGCGCACTCTGGTAACGTGATCACGTCGTGTCTGCGGTGTATTCGTATTAATATTCGTGTAAACGTGAGTGAAATGTATGGGGAGAAAGAGGTGAGGCATTAGTAGGTATGAAGACAAGCGGAGGGGAATTGAAGATGGAAAGTATTCAATTTTATATACTCATAGGTGCATTATAAAACTGAATGATACATAGAAAATGAGTGGACAATTGCATTTTTTATCAATGAATACAGTTATTGTCGCCAATAAATTAGCAATTTGCTACCGAATGGGTTCTCCTTTTTTTTAGTTTTTATTTTACTACAGCCGAAGCTTCATATAAGATACCTCGAGCTCCGAGCGCTCGAAACCTACTCCCACTCTCGGCACTTTTATCGCCTCCCGAATGTTTAGTTCCGTGGGCTTCTTATAAGATACCTATGACAGAAAAAGAGTGATTATAAAGATCAAGCGGAATTGAGGGTCAAACGGGAGGGACGAACGAAGTGATCTTAAAGGTCAAATGACCTTAAGGGTCAAGAGTTCAAACGTGAGAGTCAACTGAAGTAATCAGAAGGGTTAAACGATCCCAAGGGTCACCTCTTTTCTTCGACGCTATAATTATTAAAATGATGACGCAGAATGATCTTGATAGAATAAAGCCTAATTAAAATTCAATTAATTTACGTTCTTTCAATAATTTATACTTCAGCTGTCCAGAAGTGATTATTCTCAAGTCCCCCCAACAATCCCCCAACATCAGCTGCCATTCTATCACGCGGAGTTATGTTTAGAGAGGAAAGGGAACGCGAGCTATGCGAATTCAAAACATTAAACTCGTATAAATTGATTAGTTATCAATATCCATTCAGTAGAGATGAAAATTCCATAGAATTCGGTCGCAACGAGCGAGGTGTCTTATTCCAAATCGCTGATTCCTATTTTTCTCCTCTCTATAAGCGTGCGTAGTGGGGTATACGGATCCCCGGAGTTC